GCACTGAAGTTTGGCATCCATCAGAGTTTTAGAGCATTGCCACTTTGAAACTCAGATTAATCAATATCTGGTCTCGGTAAGACAGTTTCTTAAAATTAAACGTTTAATAACCTTACCCTTGCTGACTACATTACATTCTGTCAATTAGTTGGACACACCATAGAAGAATGGACAGACTGCTTTGAGCTGATAGGAAAAGATCCCTAACTCAAATAACCACTTGTTAAAATCAAGAGCATCTCTGAATGAACAACATGTTGAGCCTTTAAGCAGATGGGCTAATGCAGAAGACGACAATTCACAGGGGTTCACCAAAAATGTCCAACAGAAGATTTAAAAAAAAAAAAAAGTCTGGTCTGATCAGTCTTGATTTCTGCTGCAAGATTTGGATTGCATAGAGTCAGACGAACATAAAACCATGGATCTATCCTGTCTTGTTTCAACAGTTTAGACAGGTGGTTGTGAAACGAGGTGGGGGATATAGTATCTTTTCTGACCATAGCCATCTGATTGTGACCACAGTGTAACCATCTACTGCTAGCTACTTCCAGCAGGATAACACACCATGTCAGAAAGCTCAGATCATCTCAAACTGGTTCTTGAAGGTGACAATGAGCTCCCTTTGGAATGTGATGGAACGGGAAAATCACATCATGGATGTGCAGCCTACAAATCTGCAGCTTCTGTGTGATGGTATCATGTCAACAAGGACAAAAATCTCTGAGGAATGTTTCCAGCACCTTGTTGAATCTGTGCAATGAAGAATGAAGGCAGTTCTGACAGCAAACAGGAGGTCAACAGTCCCAATGTGTAACTAATGAAGTAACCAGTGACTGTATATTACTTATGTTACATTAGATTACTGTGTTATGCTAGCTTTCAGGACAATAACTTACCTAACTATCATTAGTTTAAAAAAAAAAATCAACCTTTGAACAGCTTACTGGATCCCGTGTTTAAATGTGAACACCACATCAGATATTGTGTAAACCAACACAACCACCTCACTATGATTTTCTCACAGGTGTTCTTTATATGTTGATATCCTCTGTGCAACAAGGGGACAAATATCTGCTGCGAGCAAAGGATTTTCATGGTAAGCTACCTCGCACAGTAGAAAGTGGAAATACACTCACACACACACCAAGAAATATATGATGTTCTGAGCACGTCTGCTACACCCAGCAGAATGTGCAGCACCATATTAAATCATATGATGCAACTGACATGGTGAGGTCACACGGGCAGGCTCCATTATCATCCATGCTGTCTGTCTTTGGCTGATATTCCTGCATCAGATCAATAAAGGCACCTTTGCAGTTTTGTTTTGTTTTTTTCAATTATTTAATGACTGACTTCAAATCTGGGCAAAGACTACTAAGGGTTTTAAGTCAAATTTGTACATGGAGGAGTGTTTTGTAATCACTTCACATTATTGAAACTGTCCATCAATGCAGTGTGACATATAATACCATATATTAATTTGTACATGTTCACGTTTTCTGCACATAAAGCTGGACATTTATGCTCAATGTATTATCAATGTAATACTTTTGTTTACTTATGTTTTACTTTCCCAGTTTGCCCAAAAATGATCAAAACATCTCGTCTTTCTTGCTGTAATAAATGAGTAAAAATTAGAACTACAGAGTGTCTGCAAGCTGCACCCTCAGTGTTACTGACTCAGCTTTCAAGCCTAAGTCTTCAGTGTTAACAGAAAAAAAACATTTCCAGCATGATAATAAAAAAAAGTTAGATATGTATAGCTAGTTTGTAATAAGATGATCAGTATTAATATTATTTGTGCTATCTGCATTATAAACCAGTGGTGTTACAGTTGAATGAAGCAAACACATCAATGGTAAGGCTGATTTATATAATATGGTACCCAACAGGTTTACAGCTGTACATGGAGGGAGAGCCATATGAGATCTACTGTTGTTCTAGAAAAAGAAAAAGAAAGAACACATCAAAGCAGTGTTAACATAAATAATTTACAAGAAGAAGAGTATCACATGAAAAAAAGTAGATCCTTAGGAAGCAGATGCCATCCTTGAACCCTTTCCATACATGCTTACTGTACAGAAACACCTTCACATTTTATGACAATCCACCCAAATAGAAAGAAAATATATTTACAGCTAATCAAATCAGTGGTTTGTGAACAGAACATGGAAAAAAAAAAAAAAAAAAAAAAAAAGCAATTACATCATGTAGCTTTCAGAAAACAGCTCTGTTCTCAATACTGCAGTAAATACCAATATCCACACACAGACACACAGTATGGAATAACAAAAATGCTAATAGCTTCATTGAGGTGATTAGAAAAAAAACATTGTATAATATAATTTTGACAAAAACGGCCACTGATTTAAAAAAAAACAAAACAAAGCTTTGCATTATTTATGAAGACTTTCACAAATTAAACCCAATTGTATATGAACTGGGAAGCAGGAGGGAAAATGTATGGCAGCAACTGATCTTTTTCCCATTAGTTAGAACCAGGCTAACAAGAGTCACCACGCATAAAGTGGAAGTGTTATGCAGAACCATCACCGTATTTTCTGGACTATAAGCCGCTACTTTTTTCCTAGGTTTTGAGCCATGAGGCTTATACAAAGGTGCGGCTATTCTGTGGATTTTTCTTCCACCACTAGGGGGACTCTAACCAGAATTAGAATAAAAAACAAGATAGATGAAAAATCAATGCAAAGAAGAATACGCTACTTTTTCTTTAGCAGATAGAACACGCACAACAAATTACCAACTGGTAATTATTTTCAAATCCTCGCCCCTTCATCATGGAAACCACACGAAGAAGTTCGTATGATGCAAGTTTTAAGTTGAAGGCCATCGATCTTGCTATCCAGGAGGGAAACCGCGCTGCTGCACGCAAGCTTAGCGTCAATGAGTCTATGGTGAGACGTTGGAGGCGGCAGCGGGAAGAGCTCATGCAATGCCAAAAGTCGAGAAAAGCTTTCAGAGGACATAAAAGCAGGTGGCCTGAACTTGAAAATGTCCTGGAGGAATGGGTGAACACACAGAGAGCAGGTGGCCAAGGTGTATCCACTGTACAGATCCGACTGAAAGCCAAAACAATCGCCGCGAAATGAATATTGAATATTTCAAAGCTGGGCTGTCGTGGTGTTTCAGATTTATGAGACGTAAAAACTTGTCCATCAGGGCAGATGGACAACCTGTCCATCATGCATCATGGTGCCAGGACAACCACCTCCAGCTGAACGTTGGCAAGACCAAGGAGCTGGTGGTGGACTTCAGAAGGAGTCAGCACAGAGACTACAAGCCCATTATCATCAATGGAGCTCTTAGGAAAAAAAGAAAAAAAAAAAACGAAAAAAACGAAAAAAAAGTCAACAGAGACTACAAGCCCATTATCATCAATGGAGCTCCAGTGGAGAGGGTGCAGTCCTTCAAGTATCTTGGTGTCCACATCTCCTCAGACCTGACATGGTCTGCCCACATTCAGGTCCAGACCAAAAAGGCTAGGCAGCGCCTGTACCACCTACGACAACTGAGGAAGTTCAGGGTCTCTCCAGAGATCCTCAGGATTTTCTATACAGGCGCTGTGGAGAGCATCCTCACACAGAACATCACATCCTGGTTTGGGAACAGCTGTGTGAAGGACCAAAAAGCTCTTCAGAGAGTGATCCGTACAGCAGAACGCTGCTGCAGGATTGCTCTCCCCCCTTCAGGACACCTACACCAGGAGATGCCGGACTAGAGCAGCACAGATACTGAAGGACCCGTCCCATCCTGGCAACAAACTGTTCCAACTTCTGCAATCTGGTAGAAGGTTCCGCATCATCTGGGCAAGGACAGAGAGACTCAAGAGGAGCTTCTATCCCCAAGCCATCCGGGCCCTAAACCTGGAGGTACAACAAAGTATTTGCAGCCACTTGACATCAGTGTGAATCGGGCATTTAAAGCTGCGCTCCGGGTTGAGTGGGAGACTTGGATGACAAGTGGTGAGAAGCATCCTTTTCTGATGTCTGTCAGTGGATCCTAATACCGGTTATTTTCTTTTGTTTCCGTTTTAATCAGCTAAGTTGCTGCCGTTAAAAGGCACTGAAAGAATCTGTTACATACATGTACATTTACAGTACAAAATCGTTCTGTACATGCAGTAAATATCTAATTTTTCAACATAGATATCTGCGGCTTATATACAGGTGCGCTCTATAGTCCAGAAAATACAGTACTTGTGCTACTTTTACACAAAAAATCTTTTTTTTTTTTACTCATCAAGCTACTCTGAATTTTGCATCACTCTGAATAAGACCAGCTGGTAAACTTTCCTAAATTTGAAACACAGAAAGAATTATGTGCAACTACATATGGAATTACAGATCACTGAGGAATAAATGTGCGTGAACTCCTTGTGAGAACAAACACTGTTTCCACTTCCTTTCCTGCCAACACCCTACCTTTCTTTTTTTACCCACACAAGGACAAAAACAGCACACAATTAGTGATGGCTTGAGTGAGCTGTGAAGTGCCTTTGCTCTGGGGTATTAGTGAGGCCCCTGACTCAGCCCAGGGTTTGCTCATCCAACTTCTAGAGAGCCTGGAGCTCGAGGAGCAGCGTAATGCCATTTAATGAGATGTTGGAGTTCGCAAAAAAACGTTGTGAAATCTCATGACTAAGAGCCAAACCTTTCTAAAGCCAGCTCCATATTCCAGCTCCTTTGTGACTACAGTCTCGATCTAACAAAGTAGACATTGGACGGAATAAATTTTTCTGGTATTCTGGGTTTTGTAAACTGGCTGAGGTTGCTTTCAAAGATATCTGTATTCAAAAGATGGAACAGAATAGAGAAGGAATCCCACAGGAAGGCCCTCAGAGCCACGTTTCTTGCTAACATTATAGTCTGATGTTGTAGTTCTGCTGTTGTGAAAAAAAAATCCTGCTGAGATCAATGTTTGAGTGAAGGAAAATTCAATGTGGCGTCCCTTTTCTTCTCAGCTCCAGAGTGTGCAGGCCCTCCTGCCGACCCAGAGCGTGCAACGTGCCGACTTTGTGGGCCATCTCTGTGGCAGTGATGTCAATCTGGGCGTACTTGGTGGAGCTCTTTCCTGTCAGGACACAAAAGTGGGACTTCTTTTAACTCAATCAGTGTACCATTTAATTATTCATCAGTGTTGTGCTGCACACAAAACTAGCTGCACAGAGCAGAAACTATTAGGTGACTAATCTGACAATGGAAATTTTGAAAATTAGCTTGTCATTTTAGAAATATTCCAACGAGTGTATCAGTATCATACAATATCATATCATACGTTTACCTCACTCACAGAAGCTTTTCATGCGCTTCTGCTAAATTCCTGTCCTCTTCTACGATTTTATCTTGTGGTGCGCCCCAAGGTTCATTTTTGGGGCCTGTCTTCTTTGAAGACATCTCATATCATTGTTTGAGATGATGCCCAGTTGTACATGTCATTCAATGTTACCAAATTATTTGTCATATAAATAACTGGATGGCAGCCAATTGTGTATTTTGTCTCACTTTATTGTTATTATTGTAATTTGTTATTACTTCTGCTGACCAAATTATCTCTGGATCGCATCCTTGGATAGCCCAGAATGCTGCCCTAAGGTTTCTCACCAGTTCCTCTGAAAGGTCCCTTGTGATACTGATTCTGCCCTCTTTAAACTGGCTCACCACAAAGTTCAATTTCAGATTCTGATTATCACTTTCCAAGCTCTTTGTGGTGCCTCCCTATATTAGTGAATTTCTACATCCATACATAACTGCTAGGTCTCTGATGCAAGTTGATCAATGCTTCTTGGTTGTACCTCAGTCCAAGTCGAGGATAAAAGGAAGTTTTCGCTGCCATGTTGTGGAACTCACTTCCACTAGACTAAAGATCTGTTGACACTGCTGATACCTTTAAAGGGAAGGTGAAGACCCACCTATGCAAACGTGCTTTTATTTGGTTTTATCCTTTTATGCTGTTTTAATGCTCTACTGTCTGACATTGTGAAGCAATTTATACTATTCTTGAAAAGCACTACATAAATAAACTTTACTTTCTTATATCAGTGCTGTGAAAAAACATTTCCCACCTTCTTTATTAATTAGCTTTTTTGCCTTTTTCTCTCACTTAAATGTTACAAATCATCTAATTTTTATATTAAACAAAAATAAAATATAAAATGTAGTTTTAAATGATTATTTCATTTATAATATTAAGATTCTTTCACTCCTACCTGTAGCGACTGATTAGCCTAGCTAAGTCGGAGATAAGCATCTAGCCTAAGGCTTTGGTTTCCCTTCATGAGCCATCAATCATATACAAGTATACAAGTTCACTTTCCTGATATAAATGGCTGCAAGGTGGCATCAGCAAAGTGTTGTTTATAAATTTTACTCCATAATATTTCTTTTGTTTCCCTTTGGTTTACACATTTGCAGATGTCTTTGGGCATTTTTCATTAATCCCAACATTCTTTTGTCAACAAGATTATGGAAATGAATTGTTAGGGGATATAATCATTTCTTGAACTTGAATCATTAATTGTGGAAGTGACAAAAAACACTCCTAGATCATCTTAAAACATTAATACATACATATATATACACACCGTATTTTCTGGACTCTAAGCCGCTACTTTTTTCCTAGGTTTTGAACCGTGAGGCTTACAACAAATTACCAACTGGTAATTATTTTCAAATCCTCGCCCCTTCATCTGGAAACCACACATAAGAAGTTCTATATGAGTTTTAAGTTGAAGGCCATCAGATCTTGCTATCCAGGAAGGAAACGCGCGCTGCTGCACGCAAGCTTAGACGTCAATGAAGTCTATGGTGAGACGTTGGAGGCGGCAGCGGGAAGAGCTCATGCAATGCCAAAAGTCGAGAAAAGCTTTCAGAGGACATAAAAGCAGGTGGCCTGAACTTGAAAATGTCCTGGAGTGTAACATCTTTTTTTTTTTTTTTTTCTTTTTTTTTTTTTTTGAAATATAGACTTAATCAGTGCTTCATGTACAGGTGCGTTCTATTTCCAGAAAATACGGTATATACATACATATATATACACACACACACACATCTCTGGCCTCGCTGCCAGTCTGCGTGCTTCAAGAATGAGATAGCGCATCACAACACAAATCATATGCAAATGATTTAGCTGAAGCATTTAACATTCCTGTCATGCACTGTCTTCCATATGCACATTACCATAATGTACAGTGGGGCAAAAAAGTATTTAGTCAGCCACGGATTGTGCAAGTTCCCCCACTTAAAATGATGACAGAGGTCAGTAATTTCTTGGGATGCAACTCAGTATTCTTCTTCCTCCAAACACGACGAGTTGAGTTTATACCAAAAGTTCTACTTTGGTTTCATCTGACCACATGACATTCTCCCAATCCTCTGCTGTATCATCCATGTGCTCTCTGGCAAACTTCAGACGGGCCTGGACATGCACTGGCTTCAGCAGCGGAACACGTCTGGCACTGCGGGATTTGATTCCCTGCCGTTGTAGTGTGTTACTGATGGTGACCTTTGTTACTTTGGTCCCAGCTCTCTGCAGGTCATTCACCAGGTCCCCCCGTGTGGTTCTGGGATCTTTGCTCACCGTTCTCATGATCATTTTGACCCCACGGGATGAGATCTTGCGTGGAGCCCCAGATCGAGGGAGATTATCAGTGGTCTTGTATGTCTTCCATTTTCTGATGATTGCTCCCACAGTTGATTTTTTCACACCAAGCTGCTTGCCTATTGTAGATTCACTCTTCCCAGTCTGGTGCAGGTCTACAATACTTTTCCTGCTGTGAGTTACAATACTTCGGCCTTCAAAGCTCTTTGGTCTTGGCCATGGCGGAGTTTGGAGTCTGACTGTTTGAGGCTGTGGACAGGTGTCTTTTATACAGATGATGAGTTCAAACAGGTGCCATTCATACAGGTAACGAGTGGGGGACAGAAAAGCTTCTTACAGAAGACGTTACAGGTCTGTGAGAGCCAGAGATTTTCCTTGTTTGAGGTGACCAAATACTTATTTTCCACCCTGATTTACGAATAAATTCTTTACAAATCCTACCATGTGGATTCATGGATTTTTCTTTTCACATTCTGTCTCTCACAGTTGAAGTGTACCTCTGGTGCAAATTACTGACCTCTGTCACCATTTTAGGTGGGGGAACTTGCACAATCGGTGGCTGACTAAATACTTTTTTGCCCCACTGTATACCTTATGTGAAAATCATATAAGCAAAATGTCAGAGTTTAAACCCACAACATCAGTCCTCGTGCACCAATATGTGTCTCCTGTTAGAGTCCTGTCGCCTTACAGTGTCAGAATTGAGGACATCAAAACCGGCTCCTCACAACACATAATAGTCCTGAGGAGGGTCCATGCCCGTCGGTAGTGAGGGTCCCATTAGGGCCACTGAGTTTACAGCTGTGATCTGAATGCCCTGCGACCCCCTTTCAGTGCCGAAATAGGACACTCCTCCTCCCAGGTGACAGATTAATGAGGCCGCATGCCAGGATATAAACTGTATTGCTGACATTAGACATTAACCTCATGTCAGAGCTCGAGCCACGCTGTTCGTATTCTCGAGGGCAGTGACGCTAGCGGCCAACGTGTCTGTCAATTACGGCTCCGATGACAAGGACTCAGCTGTCTTTTACCAAGATGAGAGGAAATCATCTCAATTGTTTGCGAGCGATTCCAGTAACTCTGAGTAGGTCGACTAGAATTACACATAAATATGTAACTACAATGGCTTTCATCCTTGCGTAACGCTGATACACCAGCTTACTGTAAGTTGGCTCTTGCACAGAACACTTTTGCACATTGAGCAAAAGCAAAAAATGCCTCACACTATGAGTATCAGGGCATTACCGAGGTCATTTTGTTTCTTAAATCAAGGAGGTGGTCTCTAAAATTCAACAATTTGCATTTTGGACAGTCCCGGGAAAATCTCACAAATATACAAAGACAATCTGAAGAGAGAATAAAAGGAAACAATGATTTTACAGCTTACTCTCTAAAAACGCAGGACATGGTTCATCAGACCTGACTAACACCAACTCTAATAGTTCGCCCGCAGCTTCTTTTACTTCCCCTCACGCCAACACGTGCTTGTTCATAGGGGATCTTTGGATTGTTGGATTTCTGTCCATAATGGCATTTGATGAGCTTTAGATGAACATTGTTTTGAATTTGCTCTGCATAAATAAAATGGATAGACTGCAGGATGTGCTGCACACTCTGACCACGCGGTCTGTGGCTACACAGCAATGTGTCCCACGACAAGCTTTATCACAGGCAGCAATCCATGGTGGTAACAGGCACTAAAGACAAACTATAGCTTAGGTTAGTAAGGAAGTTTTACAGGAAATTGGTGCTAAATGAAAACATTGGACAAATGTTACTGCTTATTGGCTGGTGGTGCTATAACATGCAGCCAAAAAAAAAAAGAGGTGCATTGAGGTAGACATAAAAATTCAGGATTAGCAGAGTCATTAGGATTCATCTTTTGTGGGTCATGAATGTGATTACAACATTTCTTGGTAGTTTGTTTAAAGTTTAATGGAAGACGTGCGCTGCAGACCGACTGAAAATAACTACACAAGTCTGAGAATTTGTTTCAGTTTGTAATATTTGACAGTTTAACAGCCGGTCTTGAAGACATTTCCTTGTGCCAAAAAAGACAACAGCTCACTTCAATACCCAGCCTATTACAATTCAAAGATTTATTAATCAGACAAACTTTTTTTGCTCTATACTTAAGCTTACAGCATCATGTGGTGGTTGCAGTGAATTGCCACCGTCTCTTCTTAGAGCAGTTCCCTTTAAACCTGCTTTCAATAAGCAATTCTGCACCACCAATCAAAAAGCTCTCTGTAGATTAATGCTCTCTTATTGGACAAATAAAACAGAGTCTTGGTGACATCCTTTAAACTATAATCTTGTAACATGACAATTTTCCAAGTGTCCACCCTGACTGGTCCTCACAGCTGCCGTTTGCAGTTATATGTATAAATCGAAAGCAGAACATTCATTCCTCAGACACCAAGTATCTGGCGTTTATCTCCTTTACTAACCAGAAGATATTCATGCCTCCTTACTCTGAGCTGGCAGATGTGCGGCAGCCGCTTTAGTGCCATGCACAGGATCCTGCAGCTCCAGCTCCATGTAGTTGAGCTGCTTCTTGGACGTGGGGCTAACAGGAATATTCACATACGTCACACCTTCACCGCGAGGTCTTTCAGCAAGCGGAGCCTCTGGGGGGAACACAAACACGGCCCCTGAAAATGCGAGAGTAAATTAAGCTCAGACGGTGTTAGATTCGTTTCTGTCATGCTTTTTCTTTTTTTAATGTGTGAACACTTGTTTTTAACAAAAATCCCCCACAGAAACTAAAAATAACAAGCAATTTGTCCTGTTGATAATATGCTATGTTTTTTTTGCACCTCAAAGCCTTCACTGTCAACCAAAATCTATTAAAAACATAAAAGAACAATGCCACCTGGGTTCAGCACAATGAACACACACTACACGTATTTCTAGATTCACTTGTGTTTTCTAGACAGTTTGTGTTTCTTATTATGATAAATGCTGCCCGAGTGCAACAGCCCATGTTTAGATTTCCTGTCGTGAGGATTCCCGTGGCATAGAGAGACAAGTTCAAACGGGCTATGACGGCACACAGTACCAATCAAGTCTTTCTCAGAACTGATAATAATTAAAAGATTAAATTGAACCAGACTTACACTTTGACACTTCTTTGAAACTGGATTTGTTTTTGTCATTATAACCTTAATCAAAAGCTAAACTTACCCTCCAGTCTGAGCAGCTCTCCAGGCTGCAGCCCAGTGTCAATTAGATATATTCAAATACAGACGTCCACAGCACAAGTATCAATACGGTTTCCAGCAGTAAAAACAACGGTAGCTATAATGGGATCGGCAGTCGCACAGGAACACAGCGTTTCACGATGAATTGGTTCTCTCCCCGCCCCAGAGACTAATTATGTGAAATTAGCGGATATGCCCCAGAGATAATTTATGGGATACACATTACGTCCTCGAAGCACAGAATGCTTTGAGGAAGTAAAACTCAATTGTTCTTTTAATCATCATCAAGCTGTTTTGTCATGCGGCTGTATAGTGTATGAACGTGTCCAGATCAAATATCTGAGGGTTTATGGAGCAAAATCTCATTTTTCTATTAGCAAACGTTCATTAAAACTTGAATAGGAACACCCAAACCTCTTTGATTTTCCTGTCAAACACACATTATTGCCAGATTTTTTGCCTACAGTGGATTGCACATCTAATTAATTGTGCCGGAAAAATTGTTTCAAATCACAAGAAACAGCTCACGGCTTTATCTTCATAAACCTAAAAGCTGAGAAAGGCAGATTTGCAGTCAAGTTTTCTACTGGCTGCAGAAATGATTAGTTCAGCATCTCAGTGATACAGCTTCAGAACAACCACTACATAAAATATGTGCATATTTCAGCTCTGTGACACACATCACATATTTTTTTTATTTTTTTGTGGTGCCTGGGTATGCATTAATGCAGTGATAGCTGCAACCTTCAAAACCAGAGTACAGTACGCTCAAGGATATCTTGAAATTAGCATAACTTGAATACTGCTCTGTGAATAGAGACCAGTGAAAATCACTTCTCCTGAACGGTGATATAAACGTTTGCTGTCACTTTAATTTTGTGCAAATGAGAGTCGAGAAAGCCAAATGAATCTACATGCTTTGTGGTTTTACTACAACAAGTACTGCAGTACTGTTCATAGGAATCATCTAACCCGGTTGATGGGCTTACATGACAGGTACAAAAAGTTGTCTACCAGCACAAAATAGATGAGCCATGGCAGTCACACACTATCAGAGTTTCGATGTATAAATATCTTTTTTGTTCTTTTTAATGGTGTCTGGGAACAAAGGGAAAGAATTACTATAATGTTGAAATATAAACATTTTCACAGACTCATCTAAAATAGGATCTCATCTATGCTTTCTTTGTCAAATTCATTGTTTCATAATGCACCAAATCCGATCTAAAGGTCTGAACTTCGGATACATCCAATTTTCAGACACCTTCACTTTGATGTTTTCTTGTAAACATGCAGAATGTTGTTTGGCATCGCAGGCAAGACTTTTCCCTGATAATCAAATCATCTGCATGGCAGCATATGTTGCTCCAAAAGCTGTGTCTATTTTTCAACATATTGTTAGTGGTGCCTCCAAACATGTTACTCATGCTATGTGCATTAATGACCCTTTATACCATCACAGATGCTGGCTTTTTAACTGCGTGCTGACAGCAAGCCAGATGTTGCCTCTCATCTTTAGCGGTCCATAATTTAAAAAAAGAAAAGGGAAAAAAAAAATTCACATTTTGAGACCCGAAGACTGTTTTCCAAGTGAACTCAGAGCGTGGAAGGAAGGACTCTAATCTAGCCTCAATCACAGAGCACGAGGGGTCATTGAATGTTTGATGAGCATGCAAGTGATGCAAGTCGTACACTATGGCCTGCAGTGACCACATAACTAGAGTGCAGTTCAAGTAGCTGCAATTCAAGTCTTTAATAAACCCAACAGAGCTGACACAGGACCTGAGAGATGGATCTGGGCCTTCAGGTTATCCATCGACTGCTCACTAAAGCTTCATCAGAAATGGTTTAAGTGGAAGCGTTGCTGTCAAGAAGCCACTCTTAAAGAAGGGAAACAGGAAGAAAGTGGAGTGGGCCTTATGGAGTGATGAAACTAAAGCTGAAATGTTTTTGTTCAAACCATCCGTGTGCATGGAGAAGTTCAGGAGATAGAGACAACAGTGAGTATCTATAGCCATTTACAAAACATGGCGAATACTGTGTCATGGTTCGAGGCTGTATTTCTGCCAGTGGTGTTGGATCATGATAAGGCAATTCCATCAACTTGTGAAAGTTGGAACAGGGCCTGCAGGCTCATTACTGCTTCCAAAAAGAGAAAAGTCAGCAGCATAATGTGGTTGTTTCTGTCCTGGATGCAGTTTTCGACGTTGCACACAAAGACCATTTATCTCGTCTTTGTTCATATCCACGTTCTAGACTGTGTCGCCATTTCCCTCCTCTGACACGAGAACTGAAAACAGTTCATCGTTGCAAGAGTGCAAGAAAGTGGGATCAACTGGCAGGCAGACTAACAATCCCAAGGAATTGGAAGACTGGGAACAGGAACCAGTTTACAATTCCCATCCCTATTGTTCATGAATATCTTTTTTTATCTGCTGATTTTTGAAATGCAATGCAAAACTGATCAAATGATTAACTAATTATTTAATACTATAGTTTTATAGTTTCACTTTATTTTCAGCACTATTAAAAAATATGAAAAAACACACAAAGTCTTGTATTCATTATGTACAAAGTGGAGTCCAAACAGTAAATCATATATAATTTCTTTGAACTTATTTTAGGGAAAAACAATATCTGTTTTTATATTAATATCTGACCCCCAAAAAAGAGTGAATTGTTGAAAAACGCACCAATGCAAATACATTTTTCCCTGATTTACCCTCAAGAATCATAGTTGAGCTACAATACACAAACAGAGCTTGTGTTATCTTTTTCAAGTATAATGTCAACAAAAATGTTTCATCATTAATATAAAAGAAAACAAAAAGAATTCAAAAAGCCCAGACCCTTACAGACGTAGCAAAACAACGCACTGTTCCTAACAATGCAAACACTGCTGATCTGAGCCTGTGAACATTTATTTACCTTTCTTTGAGTCCGTTGCTGTGTGTGCATTGATGTTTAAAGATTAAAGAGTAGATCTGGATCACAGAAAAGATTTTTTTTTTTTTTTTTTTTATCTTCCGTCATTATTTGTCAATCAAAGCAACACAAAGCAGCTTGGTTGAGGCATTTCACAACTACAAACAGAAACACTAATCAGAGTGTGGACTCTGTAGTAGAACGTCTATAACCGTCTTATAGTAAATAAAACAATAGATTCCTACAGTATTATATATGCGCCAACATGGATTCATATTTCTCTTGTTGCAATTACCCTGTCACAGATAGTGCGTTACCATTGGCATACAGATTGTATAGAACAACATTTGGGAAAGAAAAGATTTCACCTGCTATTGACTCTTCCTAAATGGTAGTAGGCAGTGGCCATTACCCGCAGCTCAGAAGCATCAACCCCAGGGGACACTCTTACAATCAGTGAGAAGCCATTAGTGCCAGCAAAGTCTCAGTGGGTACAGCCTTTGGCAAAGTCTAACCTAATTGATCAGACACCAACCAGCCCTTGCAGGAGAGTGTGGTGCTTTATAATGGCTTCCATTACAACAGTGGATTTGCCCACAGCTCTAAGGCCGGGGGACGTCTCGATAATACACTTTGCAAAACCTCCAGGGGAGAAGTTAGAGGCAATACCTGACAGAGTTTAGTGACCCCCAGCTTAAAAAGTCAAGTGCTTTTGGATGGAAAACACAGTTCAGATAATAACTGTGTATTCAGGGTGAGTGGGTTTTGCACCTTTCCCACATTATTGTTGCAGAAGGACACTAAGCTGTGGTATGTACACGAAAAGGATTACAAAGACCTGTAAACCTCCCACAAAGTACAATTTATGGCAACGTATGCATGTGGAAACCTTTGGCAATGGGAAAGCAAAATGCCCTAGTGTAGGTGTTTGTTTTTCTTTGACTAGAACACCTTACCATTTCTCTCCCTCTCCAGTTTCAGCTTTAAATGAGACCTTCACCAGGACAACAACATCCACTTTTTGATGTAATAAACTTATGTAAAAAGTTGAAGAGGCGGGTGCGTGAAATTAAAATAGAGTTTTTGAGAGCAAGACTACATCACAGATGTGCACGAGCCACAAAGCCGTCCTACCAGAATCCTATTTATGATAGTGTAGTCTATGTGGTCTTTAGTAAAGGCTGATTTTTAGAAATCAAAACTTATAATCAGCCCCTTGGAGGGCTGGAGGGTTTTTGCGTAATCTTGAAAACATGTCAAAGAATATTATTTGAATAATACACAGATTTATAGATGACATACTGTTTAGACCTTGCAAAGTTTCAGGTGGAAAACCATCTTCTTTCGATAATGTCTGCGCTGTATCAAGCGTAAAGCACGGAGGGGGAGGGATGATGATTTTTGCTTGTTTGGTAGTCATGGGACCTGATTATGAACTCTTCTGTGTACTAAAGTATTCCAGTGAAGCAATCTGTCTGATAGCCAAAGCATGTCTCGAACTGACTCCAACAACTGGGCAATGAGCCCAAGGACAGCAACAAACCTACAACAGCACGGCTGAAAAGGAAAAGAATCAAGGTGTAGCAATGAGTCCAGACCTGAACCTAACTGAAATACTGTGATAGGTACATAAGGAGCTGTGCCTAAACAAATGCCCGGAAACCTCAATGAATTAAAGCAACATTATAAAGAAGATTCAAGTAATTCAAGGGTTCAAACTGCTTACTTTGGTGTCACGCCGTTGGCAGGTTTTTGATTACGATGCCTCTTCCGCTGAACTTGGAAAGAAGCTCTTGCTTGTGAGCTAAAAGCTTTAGCATAAAATGGTGTATTTGTATTAATTCCCACCTGAGACTTGGTGGTAGTCATTTTAATATCAATGAGATACTCTCTTCATGTCAGCACCAGTGTGATTATTTTGGTGGGAAACAAAGAGTAGGAGATAAGTTCAATAAACAGTGAAATTTAAATAATTAACGACAACATAATGGCTATGGGCTGGTTCTACAAATATCATTTCAGAAATGGATTAGCAGTGTTTAGCCTAAACTGTCCTGAGGTGCAATTCACACCTCTCCAAGCCGACCACTTAGTGTGTAACATGTAATGACCAACACAGCAGCATCTAAAGCGCCACGGGCAAAGCCAGTGTTTGTTTAGCTGCGTTCTGATACAGTGATGCACTCATGATGCAAGCATGTGTGTGTCCGCTTGCATTTTTCATCACATAGAGCTATGATTTATTGCAAAGTCTGGAATGCCTCAAACCTGATATTTTATTTATTTGACCTGTGTGCATTGTTTTAATATGAAAAGTTCTTAAATCATATGACAGCTTTTCTGTAGCTTATCTTCCACTAAGCCCACATACCTTAGCTGCTGGACTTAGCCACATCCGGTCTACCCCCCATCCATTAAGTGTCTGCTGAAGCGGGATGATGGGAAAGATGACGAGGGAGTCGTGAGTCGTGTGTAGGTACGTGAAAATGACTGATGGGTTTGGTGCCACACTGCGACAGCTGCAGGGACTTTGTAGAGCAGGTGTGTGTTTGACTGAGGGCATGTTTCTGGGTGTGGGATGCTTAAGTGGCCAAACGTCCCCTGACAACTGTCCTCTCGCCTCATATCAGGGGAGGCAGCCCGTCACACATCACTGCACTCTCTGGTTACACATCTGTGAGTTTTCTCAGCACACAATGGGCCTTTACGTAACTCGAGTTTATGGCTTTGGATAAAAAGCCAATGAAGACATAAAAAAAAAAAAAAACAAATAGCAAAGACTGTGACTCATGCCGTTGTCTGTTTTACATGCGATTTATCTGTCTAACCATAGATGGGGTAAATTAATGCCATTTTAAATTACACCTCTGTTTAGCCCTAATTTGTCCCTTTGTGTATTCATTCCCACATTGGAAAGAAACAAAAGGACACAATGATGTGCAAAAAAACAGGAAAAGAAAAACAGCCAAATGCTGAAATTAACCTCGGGTAAACATCACATTAATTTAATATTAATTTGTTGTTTGGACCTCGAGCTTTACGGTTCCTTTTAGACGAATAAAAACTGTAGCGCTTGCATAGCATTTCTTTAATTAGTATCAACTTAACAAAAAGGGAACTGCTTTGGAAAGTTTTACAAATTTCTTAGAACTTTTTCCTTTAAAAGCAGGTCATTAGTAAAAATGTAAAAAAGTTCAAAGAGTGAATACTCTCTCATATCCTTTTACTACTTCACATTATCTACAAGAGAAGTGTGTCTGGAAGTTTTGCCACACAGTAGCCATCGTATTTATTTGTGCAGTTATTTCACCTATCTGAATAAATAGGAGGTTTGCCTTTAATTTCAGTGGTAATCAGGCCAGGATCAGGAGCAGAACCAACTAGTCATGGAGTCAGTCACTTCCTTTAAGTCCTGTTTTAATGCATATGTATTTACTGATTGATTGATTGATTGATTGATTGATTGATAGATATTATAGCCACATATCTCTCTCTTATTTCCTCAATACTCAAATTTCAAACATTTTCAGTTTATTGGCATTTCTTTTATCATTACCAATTGTTTGTTTTATGTTTGTTTTGTACACATTTTGTAAAGTCTTATATAAATAAAATACATTCATGTTTTAAAAAGTTTAAATTATCAGTATGTATAGAGGAGGTCAGCTGAGTGGAACCCTGTAAAATACAGTGGAGGCTCTGTCCTGGTTTCAGCCAGTGGTGTAGGGATTATGTCAAAATTGATGAAATTATGAACAGAAAAAGTAACATCAGACTTTTATCATCCATGCAATAGCATCAGGAAAGGCTTCATTTTTTAGTATAACAATGATCTCAAGCACACCGCCAATGCAGTAAAAGATAGACAGACCTGGATAGAAAAACTCATAATCAGAAACCATCAGTCATCGATTGTAGCATCATCATAACAGAGAACAGAACAAAAGGTCCAAAGAAGAACTCTGAATGTCCTTCAAGAAGCCTGGAGAACTATTCCTGAACACTACTTAAAGAAATTACAAGAAAGGTGTTCATTCCAAACACTGACATTGATTTTTACACATTTAAAAAATGATTGCTGCACCTATTCCCTATTTTACTTGCAAAAAGCAAAGAAGTGCAGGGAGTTTTGCACCATACTGTAAAATAGCATTCCTATAATTTTATTATATTAGTATTCGTGTAAAATATTATTTAGTAAACGAATAAGTTCATTGTTTAGGTGAATGACTGTTTCTAATGTAATACTTTCTCCAGGGGTGTTTCTTATTATGGAGAACTGCATTTCCCAAAATCCTCTAGTTTTGAGCAATTTTAGCTATTGATGCTACACTTAAGCAGCTTTTTTCCAAACAGTGACTTTTACTACAGTGCAAATTTGCAATGAAAAGGCTTAAAAATTTAGCAGCAAAAAATTTCTCCATACAAACTAGTTTGCATGGCACAACTATTTTACATGTAATAAAGTGCTAACTACCCCTTTGTTTACACTAATCTGACAGCTGGTGCTTGCAGAGAGTCTCTGTAATGCGCTTCATGTGCTATGTAGTAATAGCCACTTCATGAAGGCAATTCCCCATCAGCATTACACTTCACTGCCCTGACTGAAGTCAAGCAGGTGTATGGCGAGCGCACCGAGGTATAACATGTTCCTATGTTCAGCCTTGTGGATGTTATGCTTAGTGCCAGTCTGCTTTTCAGACTCTGAATGAGCCTCGTTTTATTTATTCATTTCAGTTCAAGCACACCAAGCAACAGGTGATGGTTTACAGCGATGTTGATTCAGGCGCATGACTCATCAATTTAATTCACTTTCCGTAAGTGGGCCCGGTTATTGTAAGAAGCCTGGGTAATGCACAGCTGAAAAGTGTTCAGAGCACTTTAAAAAACTAAAATGGTCCATTCAGAAAAAAGAAAAATCCATTTGTGCCGCTACGGACTTGAAAATCTGCATATGTTTGAATAGCTTGGCTGAAAAAAATAATGAACCAAATCGCTGAAACAACCTGGTTATGTTGATTGCCTGGCGTCAGTCTCACTCACCTTCAGTCTCTTGAAGAAACCTCTGCTGGCCGTAGCTGCCCATTAGTTCATACTTGTGTTTTTCCTGTATCTGCAACACACATTAAAGTAAGCACTGCTGATTATAACTTGCACTGAGTGACATAAGTTTATTACATAAGTGTGACGATGACTGTTCAGTGGGCACATGAGGAGTATTTATAGACATTTGGAATTTACTCAGAACTCAGGGCTATGTCTTACATGTGCGAACACTGTGCAGCATCGCTACAGACAGATAACCATGAACTTTAGGCCCACTGCAGTGCAGAGCATTAAATAAGATTGTGCTCCAGTTTTAGTGAGCTTACCCATGTCTGTATGATGAACTGTTAGCATTTAATGCTAACATTACCTGATATGCTTTTCTTTGTTTTTGTATTGTTCAGCACTTTGGTCTGCCTGGTGCCTTTTTAAAGTGCTATATAAATAGACGACGACAATGACGACGATGATGATGATATTTAGCACTTTACTCTCTGGGCTATAGATGCTAATATTAAAGTTTAAAAATACAGAGTCCAGACACCAGTAGGTGACATAATGGTAGCCATCTTTTACAGTCACATAAAAAAGAACGACAGCACAGGACAAACATGAACATGTAATATGCTTACAGTAAGTGTGTGTGTGACTTTATCAGTGTCTCACATTGCTGTGGAGGAATTCTGGCCCACACTTCTTTACAAAGCCACTTCAGCTCATTGAGATCTGCTGGTATTCATTTATGCACAGTCCTTTTGAGGTCACCACACCCTTTCCTTTGACTGGATGATTGCAGAACCTTGATTCTTTTGTTTCTCAGTCATACTGTTGTAGATTTGCTGCTGTGCTTGGGATCACTGCCCTGCTGCATGTCTTTAACATTTAAAATCCTAACTGAGGCCGTTAAGGTCTAAGGTGTAGCTCTTGGGCTTTTTGCAGTTTCTCTGAGCACTGCACAATCTGACCTTGGGGTGAGTTTGCTGGGAAGCCCACTCCTGGGAAGAATTCCAGCCATCCTGAGTATTTTCTGGTTGTCAATAGTCTGTCTTGCTGCAGAATGATGGACTTCAAAATGTTTTGAAATACCCCATAACTCTTCTCCGACTGATGAGCAGCAACAACTGCTTGTTTAAGATCACTGCTGATGTCTTTTCCTGTGTGTTATGCCTCAGACCAAGAAACTGCCAAAATGTCTGCTTTTTGTTCATGCTTGATGATCATCACGTAATCAAGTGTATTTGCGGCTGCTGCTTACCCTCTTAGTTCTTGTGTTTGTTTTTCACACAACTGTGAAAAACTCTCTTGCACATGACTGTATATAAAATCTATATCCTGGAGAGAATTTGTAAACATAGCGATGTAATCATGCAAGATACTGTCACAAAACTGAGCAAGCACACGTGAACGAGTGCATTAAATACATTGTTTTCATGCTAAAACTTCACTTCATTATAGAGAAAATACAAACCCTTAAACTCGCTTATTCTAATCCAAATGCTTAATAATATCAGGACAATAGGCTCAAAAGTACAAAATGCTTATTGGACATATTTTTCCATGTCTAATTTCAGATTTACTACTGAAGCCTCTTAATAACAAACCTCTATGGGTTTCCCTTTATTCTGTGTATTCAGTTAATATTCTCATGATATCAGACATTTCCCCCAAATGCTTAGCTGAACTAAGAGCACAATGAGTTGCAAAGTAAAAATGTGTGAGTTGTTGATAGTGTAAAAGCGGATTACAGTGTTTTGGATGTGTCTACCTCTGGGTTCCTCTCCAGCATCCGACTCTCCATGATCTCATAAGCAGGATCGGCTCTGCGTCTTTCCTCTTTACTACTAAGCCTTTTGTCTGGTGAAAGAGACGATATTGTGCATTTTACATATAAGAAACAAAAACACATTTTGTTATTGTAACTCATCGGAAAAAAATCATACCACATTGTGTTGCTTTCTTTTCTTTTTTTGTTTAAATGCACTTTGTGAACCAAAGCAGACACAATTTTCTCCATGCAAATGGAGGAATTCGTGCAGATCGAGTGGTGAGAACAAACAACAAAGGCTTGATTCATCATCACACAATACTAAGAGTTTTTTTCCTTTTTTCTTTTAAAGAACAAATAGTTAAATAGGATCCTTTTGTTGCTCAGTATGAATCATGGATAACGTGCAAAGGACAGAAATTGCACCCTGAATTTTGTTAAAATGTTTAAGATGTGTCATTTTGGCTTCATTTACTGTCAATATTTATAGATAAAAATATCTTCAAAAAAAGAAAATTATCATGTTGTCATCATTTGATCTGTGGAACCAATAATAACAGACCCCATCCTAAAATTTACTTATAACACACATATATAATTCCGACAATAGATTAATAAATGGTTACTCCTTTCCTAAAAAGTGGTCTTTCTGTGCTCACAAAAAACTTAAAAATTTACAGATGACATTTCATTTAAAAAGTCTTAATTAATCTTTCTGTAAACAGGATTAAATTCACGAGAGACCACTTACACCCACTGGCCACTTTATTAGGTATAATGTTCAACTGATCAGTGATGCAAATGTCTAATCAGCCAATCACACGGCAGCAGCTCAGTGCATTCAGACATGGTCAAGACGACCTGCTGAAGTTCAAACTGAGCATCAGAATGAGGAAGAAAGATGATGATTTAAGAGACGTTTGACATGGCTACACTTCACACAAGCTCACTAAAACTGGATACTAAAGTATTAGAAAAACGGTGTCTACTCTGAAGAGTTTTGAAGGGTCCGATTTTTGGTGTAAATAACATGAAAGCGTGTATCCGTCCTCCCTTGTATCAACAGTTCAGGCTGCCGGTGGTGTAATGGTATGGAGGACATGTTCTTGGCACACTCTGATCCCCTTAGTACAAACTGAGCATCATCTAAACACCACAGCCTACCTGACCGTTGATGCTGAACATATCCATCCCTTTATGACCAGTGTACACTGATGGGAGGATAACACACCATGTCACAAAGCTCAAATCATCTCAAACATTCCCATGAAAATAAGTTCATTGTACTCAAATGACCTCCATAGTCACCAGAGCTTAATCCAACACAGCACCTTCAGGATGTGGAGGAACAGGAGTTTCCCATCATGGATGTGCAGCCAACAAATCTGCATCTACTGTGTTATACTATCATTTCAACATGAACCAAAATCTCTGAGGAATGTTTCCAGCACCTTGTTGAATCTGTGCCATGAAGAATTAAGACCGCACTGAAGGCAAACGAGGGGCTCCAACCCAGTATTACCAAGTGGACCTAATAAAGTGGCCAGTGAGTGTATAAACCCTCTAAAAGCTGTGTCATTTTTTATTACACTTCTGCGAGACTACATGCAGGCAATGTAGCGTAATGGTCAAAGTGTTTAGTGTTGGTTTCTGTGCACCTTTGCCATCTTAACTACAGAGGTAGAGGCAGTGAAGAGACCACCATGAGAAGAGGATGTATTACTAATGCTAAAGCTGAAGCTAAAATTATGGACGTTGTTGACAGCAGTAGCTGCTATCAAACAGTAGCATTGCTCATAAGGCTTTTTGTGGCTTTGTTCAGTGTTGTACGTAAACATCTTCAATGCAAAAGTACCACAACAACAGTTAACGATCACAGTTAACTACTGCAAACTTCCAAAAAGGACACAATCTGCTGTGTTTGATTTGAGACATGACTCTCTCTCTCTGCTCTAGCAGGTAAAAGACTGACTGTAAATGACTGAGTTGGTACAAAGTGACAGTCACAGGATAAACTATCATTCCTGATTTTGCAACTTTGCGGCAAAGCTCACCTCAAGGCTCAGCTCTACAAAGCAACACAAGTGACTGATTAGAGAAAATAAGCCAGGAAGAAAGAGTGGTTTCACTGAGAGAAACACAACGAAGGGGACAGAAAAAGATCCTCAAAAGGAACAGAATGGGGAAAAAGAGGAAGTCAGCCAAGGATCTGAAGTTTGCGATCAGCTGAAGAGGAAACTGTCGAAGGTGGCCTCTTACCTTCACTGGTCACTGTCGATCCATTTATCTCTTCATACCAACACTGCCCATCCGTGCTCTGTGATGAATCATTTAGGTACAGTAACTCCTCATTAGCTGGATGTTCTTGGCCTTTCTTCAGGTGCAGCCAAGTCGGAAAGCTTTTTAAAGGGGAAATGTTCCTGTTGCGCCACTTTTGAGCGGGCACGGCCCGTGGTGGAGGCTGGCAGCGCTCTCCTTGACACTTCAAACAGTTTTCATAAATGACAGCTCTTTTGTCTTGCTGTGAGTCTTGTAATGGTACTGCTGGTGCCAAATTAAGCTCATTACCAAAAGCAGGGCTCATTGACTCATACAGGTTCAATCTGTGTGTCTTTGCCTCTGGCTGGCTATCTGTGCCTGGAAAGCCGAGCAGATCAGCTAAAAGACAGGCTAATTTCTCTCTTCCTTTTTTTGGCAGCCGTGACTCCTCACTCATCTTCACAGTTGGCATCCCCGCACTGTGGATGATTTCAGAGCCAGGAGAGGTCTCCTGAATTTTCATCTCCGCACCAGTGTGTTCACTGGTACTGGGTCTGCATGGTGATTTGTCACCACTTTGATCTGCTGGATTGAAAATATGATGTTCTGGAGGCAAAATTAAAAAAAAAAAAAAAAAAAAAAAAAAAAAAAAAAAACACACAACACCTACAACTTTGATTTCTGTCCCAAATCAAAACAGCAAACTGTGGCTGCTACATCAATGTTTTTTGCCCAGCGTGCTTTAAAGCCGTTTATGCATGCAAGAGAAACCACACGCAGCGTGCATGAAAGACTTCAGAGGAGTATCCTTACCTGGTGTGGCAGGTATCACTGAAGAACTAGAAGGGCTGTATGGAGTCCCCTGTGAAATATTGACAAAAAAATGACTTTTATTTTAACAGTCCACTCTAGTATTGAAAGATGAGGGAAAGGCTCGCAATGACCTACATATTAGTTTATTTTTTGTCAACAAAGCTGATAAAAAGAACAAAAGTGACTCAGGGACTTCACGCTTCAACAGCCTGGCAATGGCTCACAAGCCCACTACTTCCTCTGAGAACAAAAATCTATAAAATGACTCAAAATTATATATTTTTATTTATGCACTGAGTTTAAAAAGGCCCAGTCATTTCATTAAACATCTGCACTGTATTATTTGAGGAAATGCAGTAAAATTATGTTGATTTGACTGATTATGATTTCCAAATTATTACGATTCGCCTGATTTTGAGTGTAAATCAGGCGTCATGGCTGTGAATGCTCTGAGTGTTATATCTATCGGGGGCTGTCTGACTTCAGCATCACATGATCACAGGCCAGCGCTGCTTTGTTTCTTTCTTATAAAACAATTACACAAACTCCCCAAGTGAGAAACCAACCAGGTTCCTTAAATCTTATTACATCCATGTGATTGTAATTATAATAGTCACGGTTTAATGTGTCCTGTGAACTAGCCCTTTTCCACTGAGCCAGTGAACACTACAGGGGTAGATGGTGTTGTTCAGGCTGAAGGAGTTGGATCCCCTCCCGTGGCATTCATGTCTGATCCATCTGGCCAATAACTAGTATTCATCTACTTCACTGTGGACCAACGGAAAATACAGAGCTGATTTTTTTTTTTTTTTTTTAATCTACCCAATCAAACAAATGCAGCTTGCACTCTTAAATAAATGCACTGCCAGCAGGTGGAGCTCTCTGTATTCTCTCTGAACAGAAAAAACCTTCAGCTACTTTTGTACCTGAAAGCAGCAAGCCATCAGATAATGCACTGTATATGTGTATAACTCCCTGTTACTCCAAAAGTCAACAAATGATTAATCCTTAAGCCATCGCTGGCCAATCAGAACATGTATCATGTATCATGCAATTCTGAAAAAGCAAAAAACTGTCTCCAATTCTAGCCCTGAATGAATTATAATAGTACTTTATTCACATAATATGCACAAAATCTTTGTGAAAATAGTCCCTAGATTCCTTAATAAGATAAATAATTATCAGCTGTACCCCTTACAAAGACTACACTCTGAAAAAGAAAAATTCACACCAACTCTGACACCACAGAAGAAGTCAGCCAAAGCTCAAACAAAGAATACCACCAAAGTCTGTTCGGTGCTCACAGGCGAGTGAAGCACGCACGGAGTTAAACAGGGCATTAAATAAAGATTGTGTGTTTTGACCTAGATATGCATACACAGATATACAGATGCGGAGGTGTAAGGATAGAAAATTGCAAGTCACTCATAACTTACAAGGTGTGAATCTGCCATATTCAGTGACAGTGTAAAACTGAACCGGGTGCAGAAACACTAACGTGTTGGACAGATGGGCCGTGGGACTGTTAGTTGTTCTGACACCAAACGCAGCGCGGCATCACCGTCAGCCCGCACGATACCACAAAGGTCACACTGACAAGCGGGCTACAGAACAGATGATACACTGATGATAAAGCCTGTGCACACAAGCTGCTACTGCGTGACAGCAGGTTATACAATGGAGCGTGTTCACGGGACCATTTGAACAGGACTGATGACTTTTTTTCCTTCGTTTTTTGAAGTTTGATGGAAAAACAGATGGTTCATGAGAGCAGCTACGCTTGTTTAACCCAGATCTGATCAACATTCCCTTTTGCCAGAAAACAAACAGAATACTTGTGTTTCCACTTACCTTAACTCCACCGCATACAGAGCAGATGGTCACGATGGTTTTGGAGACAGAAGTGAGGGAGGTGCAGGTATTACAAGAGTCACTAGAGGGTGCCACCTTGGTTTTCTTATTCGTCACTGAAAGGCCCTGAAAGAGTTCACTGACTGACTGACTTTCAGTAGCTTCTGAGTGAGCCTCAGGGGTTGTGGCATTGCTCTTGTCCTGTTTTGCTGCCTCTGCTGTGAACCCTAAAAGGGCTGGCGGGTCTTTAGTTGAGGCGGAGGCTTCATTGTCTTTGGCACCTCCACCTGCTTCCTGTAAAACACTCCTGGGAGTGTCATAGACATACCTAAGTGAAGTTGGCACCTGGTAGTCATGTCCAGGAACAGCAGGGCAAGTGCAAGGGCTGAGATCTTGAGCCAAATGTGGAGGCAAGCTTAAAAAAGAACCAAAGTCCTCTCCGGGGGTCATATCCAGACTGCCTGTGTAGGAGGAGAAACTGCCAGTGTACGAGGAATGGCTGCCAGTGGCAATGCCACTGTCTGATGAGCTCTGACGACCGATTTCCTGAAGTTGCCGGGGCGGCTTAGCCGCAGGCCGGTGTCCACCTCCCTGGTTGGCGGAAAGCTTCTCGCTGATCTGCAGTGGCACTTTAGCGCCCGTGTGGCTGACGTTTTCAGGTGGGTTGGAAGCCGGTTCAGTCCAAATTCCCAGCCGGCTGCCAATGCTGCAGTCTGAGTGGCTGGTGTCTGAAGTGTCAGAAGAACCGGAAATGCTGCGGTCGTCGCCCCCAGCAGACGGGCAGTAAGTCAAAGAGACTGCCAAGACGAGCAGAACATAATTAAACCTTTAATGAATTTAATCAACAAAAACACTGCTTTCATCAACAAAGCACATTAAGGAATCATGACGCACTCTCTGTGCCTCAGTCTTTTTTTCTTCCACTTAACGGAACAATAAATCAAAGCACCTGCCAGCGCACCCAAAAACTTTGGTCGTGTTTTCTACCTGTGCCACTCCCATGAGAGAGCATGCTCAGTCGTTTCTCTAGCTCCTGGGCCTCGAGGTTCAGCTTTTCCTCTGAAGTGGTCTGGCTGCCACTAGGATCTGTAAAAAACAAAGGGCTGTATTATAAATAGCAGCCAGCATGATCTCAATCATGAAAAGTCGGGCAGAGAAAAATGAAGTGTAAGTGCTAAGTGTGATGAATCTCGACACTGTCAATGAGATATGGGATCAAATGTGACGCAGCTGAACCGCGGCGGTGACACGGGCACAGCTGCGAAAACACATCCAGCTACTCTAAAGACATGAGAGGGGACACTCTAAACTGCAACGGTCTCACTCAACTGTCTGTGAACGAGCAAACAGTGTCAGCCACAAGGTGTAAGTGAAAAGGAGTAAACAACTTTGCGGACGTGTGCTATTATTTGATCCCTGAGTGTAGCGTGCTGTTGGACAGGCAGAGAAAAGGGTCACACAGGGGAACACCTAGCAGTATTTGTGCAACACTGAGGGGTGTATTAATAGTGCTGCCACGTGGCTCTGCTGGTACGCGTTCTGCTGCTGGCGGCAGTGCATGAATCTAATGTGCCTTGGACCATCAAGGTCAGTTCTAACACTGGGCTGATATATTTTTTTATATCCATCTGAATCCTGCATCAGTAAAGTGGTAAATATACCATAAGTCTGAAATCCCAGGTGATGAGTACTGACCTCCAGTGTATAGGAGTGTCTAAAAAGGTGTTTGGAAAAGGTCACACTGGGAAAAAATTTAAAATAAAAAGTGTTTTTTTTTCCCCACATGTTGACCACACATTCCTTTAATGGTGCCGCTTGAGAAAGCAGGCTTCCTCATATACATATATTTATACATATAGGCTGAGGTTCCTCCATTATTTTTCCTGTAAGTATTTTGTAGATTTTTGAGGATTTTTCCTGTTTCTGATTGAACTCCATGCTTACATTACTGGACTACAACATACCTTTGCATGAGTCAAAGTTAGGGTCTTGTTGTAACCCCTTAGATCATCCTCTGCCTGAAACAAGCAGCTATAGCCTCTCCCTTTAAGCTGACTTTCTTCTGATTGCCTGCCACTCAGAAACAGAAGGTCTGGACAGCAGGTGGGTGGAGTTTCAGTGCTCATACGACCATATTTGAGATATCCTCTGACATCACAGTGTTTAGAGCAGTCTGAAGCCTGAGCTTTTGGCTCACAGAGATTACTGGCACACACTAACCTCATTACTTGAAATTCTGGCCATGTTTAATATGAGCATCCCCTATTGTGGCAGTATAACAGAATATTGAAGCAATACTATAGAAACTGCAAAAAAACTACATCTTAGAATCTACAGGCCTCAGTATGTTAAATGTCAAAGTTCATAACATTACATTTAGAAAAGGGCTCAACAAGTGTGATGTGTTTGGAAGGATTGCAGGAGAATGGCAGCGAGGTTTGGTTTGCAAAGCTGCATGTGAACAAGACTTCTGGAACAATTTCCTTTGCACAGATGAGACCAAAGTGGAGATGTTTGGCTGTGCACGTCTGCCAAAAGCCAAACAAAGCACATCAGCACAAACACCTCATACCAACTGTCGATGACAGTGGTGTAGGGGTGATGATTTGGGCTTGTTTTGCAGACCTCAGGATCTTGGCACCATGAACTCCTCTGTGTAGCAAAGTTTTCTAGAGCCCATCTGTCTAAAGCTCAAGCCTGGCTGAACCTGAATCATGCAACAGGACAATGATCCTCAGCACGGCAGGAAATCTACAACAGAATATCTGAAAAGGACATGGTCATGCTTCCTTGACTGACAGGTATCCAATCTGTCAAGGTCATCAATATTTTTGAGGTTTGCACATCCCGGCTGAGCTCTGTTCAGGCCTTCAGGGTTACTCCCCTTTGGCCACATTTGGATTTTATGGCTCCAGAAGTTGGCAAAGATGGCAGTGAGCTGTAAACAGGCTTCATAAATGTCCTCACTACATTTTTCTAATGTCTTCGGTTGTGGAATAAAGAATCTACATGAAATAAATCTACAGTGATAAGTACAAATGATCAAATGTCAATCTTAGTTTGGCCCTTTATGAAGGTGAATCTAACCAGCCATCAGCGTTTTACATAATCTTTCATCAATTGAGGTGTTTTTTCCTTGTCTGACAGCTTAAAATGCATGTAGGTTACGTGTCCACCTGCTTTTACGTGTTTCGTCTTTACACACGAACGTACTCATGACTAAATGCAAAAAAGAAGCACTGCAGGAACAATTTGTATGCTGGGAACTAAACACAAAGCAGGAAAACTATAGGTTGACACACTGGAGCATCCAAGGACGAAAGACAGATAAATAAGCCAAGAACATTAACAGCAATTAATCAAAATAGCAGCTAGCACAGAGATTTAATCATGCGACACAGACAGACTCGGACATGGACTGAGAGGTGAAAGGTAAGTGAGAACGAGAGACGCGGTTAAGGACTGCGAAGGGGGATGAGACAAAATGAAAGATGAGGAAAAAGGGGAGGGGAGAGCCAAGAGCACTGTGACCAAGAATGATGGGGGGAGGCAGCAGTGGAATGCTGTGGATGAGGTTACACACATGCCCGAAGCGATTAGGAGGCTTTGGCTGCTCTGCTACCATGACTTTGACCCCTCCACCCCCGCCCCAACCCACATCCTCTCTACTATTTATTCTACTATGCATCACAATAATAGGAATATGAGCTCAACATGCGATTGGGCGGTAAGATGTGTGAAAACCAAAATATCCACAAGGCCCTGCAGCTACTCTCTCAACATTTCCTAATAAGTTGGCGGCTGGGTGAGAAATGTTTTGTTTTTTTTGTAACTGCTAGTGTGGAAAATCAAAAGCGTTGCAGGAAACAGCGGGGAACCAAATAATGTTTAACCACTTCAGTAACACGTAATCTAACATTTGAAAGTGTTTAAAGGAAGTGATCAAATATGGGGAAATGTAAAATACAGAATATATCCAAGAATGGCTACAGGGTTTTTCTGTTTTGTATCTAATGTTTGAACAAATATAACATGGATCATGACGCTGTGCCAAATTACAACTTATATTTTATTTTCCATCTTACTGGACCTGGTGTGCGTGTTTACTGAGATAATCTTACACAGCCATTCCCAACGTGGAGAATGTTTCAGCCCACTTAAAAACCAGAAAATTCCCATGAACGCCGCGGTACTCGGCAAACCTTCACAGGCCCCACTCCTGCTAAACAGGTGAAAATAGATTTAAGGGCGACAGGACTTAGTGCTGCTGAATCTATGATTTTATTTATTTGCATTTATTTGAAAGAGTGAGTGTAGACACAAAAAAATACTTTTATTTTATTTTATTTTATATGATGGATTATGCAGAAAAAAATAGAATTTTTTCACTTCACATTTTTTGATGAATTCCTTTCATCTACTTTCACTACAGTATTTTAAATAAATAGTGATATTATATCACAAAAGGCAGATCTGCCATTAGTGAAGACAACTGACACGTGTCAGATTTTCACAGCAGATTGCAAAGGAACAGAAGAACCATTTACACTTTGGTGCTTGGCATCTTTCACAAACTGAAACCTGACAGCAATCTGGAACTAGATCCATCCTCTAACGTGCCCACCAGTAGCACTTCACCCTGGACTATACATAGAATACAATTGAATTTGTTACCTAATCAGAGTGAGTATAATAGTCATCCTCTTACTGAAGTTTAAGGTGACCTAAAGCTTTACATTCATCACTTAAGTCAGGGGTTAGGACGTTGATAAATTGGTTCATGGGGATTTATGTAATTGCATTTAAAAACAAACAAAAAAAATCAAAACACAGCTGCCAGACATAATTTAGGCAGATCAAAGCGTATCCATCATCAAAGAAATCCTCTGGCTTTATTCTGCCAAAAATGGGTGGATTTCAGGAACCTAGAGCATGTCAGCCATGATGAATCTCTATAAGCAACACAAGCAGAGTTAGCTAAAATTATAATGGTAAATGTTGACTTTAGTATTTATACTTAGAAGTCCACGTCTTGTCTTTGAGGCAGGAATTCTCAGAAGTCACTCCCCCCAGCCTCCGCTAAAAGGCTAAAAGTTACATTTTAGTGCAACAAGTCAGCTTTCCCCAAGAAGCACGGCTTTAAAACAATTACTCCTTCATCTTGACATTCCCCCTCCGTATAACTTCAGTTCTTTTCAGCCAAGCAATATGAAACACCTCTGATACTGACCTGGCAAAATGGGCCGCAGTCCAAAAGGGCCTCGGGTGGGGGAGATGCCTCTGACGATGCAGTCGAATAGAAAGCTGATCTGCTCGCTCTCAGCAGATGCGAGCAGAAAAACACCAGCCCCTGAAAATAGACTTCATTAGTTTTAAGCTAATTTATGAAAGTGTATTTTACAGTTAATAATCAACAAGAAAGAGTGCAACATTGGTGATGCCAGTATAATAAAAAAAGAACAGGCTGTTTCTTGCTATAAATCAGTAAAACGAGACAAACTTTTCAATTTTACAAAAAACATTTCTACTTTTCAACTACCATCAAAATGTCCTAAACTGAGATATATTTGGTTACTATTTAAAATTAAAAACTATTTGTCTTTTACTTTTAAACCAGGACAGTCATTCTAACAGCTTCATAACGGTTACTTAGGTACGTGCTCTGAGGTAAGTGCTAACATCAACACGCTAACATGCTGAGGTTTTTGACCCTTTCTGTTTTCGTAGCTTACTATATGAGCAAATTAATATTACAGCAACACAATTTTCACCCGGGACCAGTGAGAACAGCTTTAATTCTGATATTTAAAAAAAAAAAAAAAATGGCGGCCGTAATCTTTACGTAAGTGGGACATAAAGTTTTTACTCCAAGCCACAACTTTCCTCGATGGTTCTACAAGGAAAGTCAACAGCTCGCCAAAATCATGGACCACTCGGATATTTTACAAAACACAGCTGCTAATAATAACAATTAATCAAAGAGCATCTGTTAGTTATTGTTTTTTTATGACATCAAATTATTTATTTTTCATATCAATATAAAAATAATTTCCTGAATAAAATACCACCTAAAAGTAGAATTTGTTACAATAGATAGATGTAGATGTAGACAGATATAGAGATAGATATATATAGAGATGGATATAGATAGATACAGACAGATTATTTATAGTGTGTAGTATATGTAAACGAGCACTACATGAACCTTTTCAGAAAGAAACTGAGGCATGATGCGTTTCACGAAGCTGCAGTTATAGAGTATTACATAATAAAAAAGTTCCTTCTTTATGGTTCCCAGTTTGTCTATTTCAACAATTTAGAGTGTAATAAAGGAGGATTTAATATAATGGAGAGGTCAGAGAGGTCACGTTCTCCTGAGGTCTCTTGACCTCCCTCTGACAGCACAACTGCCTGCGTTTTACAAAGTGTTGTTGTGTCATTCTGCGGCTGAAGCCACCCATGTCAAAGCTGCCCTTACACTGCTGTGGCTGTGAGCAGGGGTCAAAGGTCAGCACCAAAGTCTGCTCAAGTGTTTTAACCTGTTCAAACTAAAGATTTATTGTCTCCTTTGTGCTTTTACGATGGAGCTGATTAAGTGGTGTCTCACCTCATACACGTTCATCTTGCAACGTTACAAATTTAACATACACGTTGGTTTTGATAGGTGACTGCATTTTAGTTACACTACTAAATGCACGATTACCAAAAAAAATTTAAAAATCCAAAAACAAAAACAAACATTCAAAACAAAACAAAGAACAGGTGGCAAAGCTTTTTAGTTCACATTAATCTCTGCAGGAATGAAAACAACTCAAATGGACCCTTCTGGTCTCTGCTCCAAGAGGTGATAAAAACACAGCATCCATACAAAGTAACACAGCTTATAAAATCCAACTTTGTTAAGTGGGAAGTGTAAATGAGCAAGCGCCGAGAGCCAAGGTTGGCATTTTTATTTCGAAAGCAGCAGAGTCATCCAAACGGCTCAAGATGAAAGTCTAGCAAACTTTAATTACTTTAAAGTGAAATTCAGATTTCCTTCACTACCATGTTTGCAACCTTCAGAAATGCATGTAAACATTATCCAGTTTAACTATTCCAGGACGATAAAATTCAGGAACAAATAAAGAAAGTAAATGAAGTAACAAAACTATTAAAGCACTAATTACTGAGAGGTCATTTTGACTGCGTATAGAGAAAATCGTTCTTCTGAACACTTTGGTACAGCAAAGTGCGCTAAAGTGTACAGTCACTTTAGCGCTAAGCATTTCACACGCACACCTACACTTTACTTAAATGACCATTCGCCCGTGGCGTGGACAAAAGGCAGGACAAATGCAGCTTGCAGTTCTACAGCTGCTCTAACCAAAAGTGAGACACCCAGCACAGCTAAATCACTTCTCGCCGTGCTGTGGATAAACTGTGCCGAGGGATTACATGTCACAGGAATGCTCGGCCTTCGCCGCACACAAACACTGAGATGCAGCCTTACTTTTTCCCCTTTTCTGTATAAAAGTAAAGCAGCTTTGACCTTCTTTAAGATAAGCCAGTAGACTACTGAAGGCTTATTGGCTCTTAAATTAAAAATAAAATAAAAAATGTCATGTTTCCAGGAGGGTCATCATGTATCTTTAATGTTCCAATGTCTGTCTGTCCCCTCCAGGTGTTCACATACGGTCCTCTTCACTTTAATAGTTTCACATCTGTTGAATTTTTCAAACGTTATCTTATCACAGGGACGCACGCGGCCCGACGTGTTCAAACAGACCTTAAGGAAAACTCCAGAGTGATGCATGTTGCTGAGTTTTGGGCACAGCAGGGGTGATTATGCACAGCCTGAATCATTTCCTTTCTTGTTGTTCTGAACAGATGTTTTTCTAATGCTTCATCTGCCGAGTCAATAAAACGCAACGAACAAACAAGAACGACTGAAACATAGTTTGCTGCCTGTCATGCTGTGTGCTCTCCATTACACTTCTAAGCAATTCAAAGCAGCCACAGCAAGCCCACTCTTTGAATTTTGACTGATATTACACGTGATCAAAAGTGTGTGGACAGGAAAAAAGGCACAGAGCAATAATCAAAGCTTAGAAATCAGACTGATGAAGCAGTAAAGGCCACCGGAACACTTTAGAAAGAGCGTCATGACCTGTTTTTTTTTTTAAAAATGAGTCGAGTTGAAGCTTTTGAATGTGAGTCATTCAGAGAGTACTTTGAGTTACCTGGGGTCTTTGGTACTACACGTCTGTGGAAGCACGAGCAATCAAAAGCAGGATTTCAACAATCTTGCATCTCAAAGGAAAAAGCAAGTACAAGAAGAACATCTGAACAAAGTACAAACTATTACACATGAGTCACAGCGTCTCCATTCTTGTGATCACTGCTTTGTAATCATACGCTGTAGTATTCAGAGCCCGACCTATATGTAGGCTATACAATATTATTAGCCGATGTGGCCTTATTGGAGTGTATGCCACTGGATATGAATTTTAGACTACATGGAAAAACTTACAACCTCTGGCAAAGAACATGAAGTCGTCACACTTGAAAGATGTTCACTGAACTCTTTTACTTTGCAGCAATAAACAAACCACAGATGTGATAAAGTGTTGTTTTTTGTTCCTTTTGTTGTTTACTATCTGAACGACTCTGACTTCATGAAACAAACTTCAAACTAATTAAAGAATTTTGTGTAATGGCACATTTTTTTCCCCAGACATTGTAAATTTTGTGTTTGGGTTAAGATCTGGACTGTGTGCTGACCGTGTCAATGAGTCTGTCTGCATTTCCTTTCTTCTGTGACAACAAGACGCATCGTCATCATCGTGATGTCGAAAACTAATCCTAATCATAACCAAAACCCCGCACTCAGTGCAATAAGAAAAGCATAAAGCAGTCTACACCTGTGCATTTACTGTTGAGGTAAAGACTTTCATCTCTCCTGCTCCATTTTTGCTTGATTTCTCAAGGCCTTCATCTTTTTTATGGCACCAAATAAAAAGTCCCAGCATCATCCCCTTTGGCAAATGCAGATTCATCACTGAACGTGACTCTTAGCAAATCATCCACAGCGCACTATTGTGTTCGCCCACTCTAACCTTGTTTTCTTCCCATTAGGCGTTAATGCTGGCTTTCCTTTGGTGATCCCATTTTTTACACTTTTATCACAAAACCACTGATTCTTCTTTCTGCCCATTTATGGGTTTTTTGAGCATTTTCAATTTTCTTCTGACTCTTTGACATCTTCCATCTACCCTGAAGCTTTCCTTTTTTATTCTTAACACTTTGCACTTTTCTTAGACACAGCTGACTGGGGAAAAACAAGGAGTTGTATAATCCTTTTGACTGACAGCTCTCTTCTTGGAGAGCTGCTTCCTCTTAATCAGGTGTAACAGCTTGCTGAGGTCTGCAAACGCTCTTTTAACTGCTGACTATTTTTAATATTAAAAAGTGTCTGTTTTACACATCCAAATCACAAAGTGATTCCATATTTTCCCTCCTCTGTGCTTAATCTGGGAAAAACAGATCAATAATTAAATTAACTTGTTTGGGGCATGTTTCATGAAGCCAGAATGTTCGGCTTTTAAACAAACGTGCATTTGCGTCACATCTGTGGTGGTTTGTTTATTTGGTTCAAAGTCAAAGAGTTGAATGAACATCCTTCAAGTGGGGTGATTACATAATGCTTCAAAGAAGGGGGTCATTTAAAAAAAGAAGAACCACAAGGCCAAAATACATGTATGACACGACATCTCTAAGGTGACATGTTGAAGTTTTTGAATATGTGCTCTTCTAGCATGCGACTAAAACATCCATCCATCCATTCTCTTCCACTTATCCTTTTCAGGGTTGTGGGGGGCCTATCCTTGTTGTCTTAGGGCCTGAGGCAGGGTACACCCTGGACAGGTCGCCAGTCTGTCGCAGGGCTTGACTAAGACATAATAAAGTCAAACCTAATTTCACTCAATAAAACTGCAATTTTAAGAACAAAACCCTTTTAACTTTAAACCTACAGACTAAATGGACAGACTCAAAGGTAAGGAGCTGCCTGTGTACCATATGTACCATACAGACCATAATGAGAACAACAGACAACTTATATGTAGTTTGACCAGCAGAGCAACTCCAACTCAGTTTCTTACCATTTTCGCAGCTGAGCAGACAGCAGTGTGGATTCAAGTGTTGTCTTTATGGTAAGCTGATACCTAGCATGTCAGACACATTGCTGTGACATCGTTACTCCACATGCTTTTTACTGTGTAGTGTTAAAATGGGTTATGTGGCAAAAAAAAAAAAAAAAAAAAAAAGGTTGTGGGGTTTGGAAGCAATCTAAATCCAATTTCCTCTCAGATTTAACCAAACACGTGTGATCAGATGATTGTGTACGTGTCTTGTTACGTCACTATAAAGCCAGACGCTTCGACAAAACTTAAAATATCTGCATCACATTGTTGCTCTGATTATACTCTGGAAATTTTGATCAGAAGTAACGATTCACATCTGCTCATCTGCTGCTTTAATGCTCCTATGAGCACAGTTTGGAAAAGCAAAGTGTGGACAGCTCTGTGATTTACTTAATGACACAACTGTGTGATTCATAGCTTTCGAAGTCCTGCAGGGTGAAGCACCGTTCCAAGAAACTGGATACTCCATACAAATGCAGCACTAGCCTTTCAATATATCATCTGTTTTAATCCATGAACATTCAAAGCACCCTGCAAAAATAAATAAAAAAATAACAAACTGACAGTTTTGAGCAGTTGAGACCCACAGAGACGATCTGCTGGAGCACTTTAACTAGTAAAAAACAGAAAAGATCTGCCACTGAAACATTTTAGCAATGGTTTTACACACATCCCTTCTACTTCCGTCAAGATTAAAGTGCATAACAAGAACGCCAGTGCTAAATGTGCTAAATATATAACGTTCTGTGTAATGCTGAGCCAAACTGGCCAGTAACGCTCCCATTGGGGAGGAAAAGGGGAATGAATTTGTTAAAGCAATAGTGGCTGCTTTTTAGCTATCTAATAGCTAATATTGATTCATCAGTAATGACCAGACAACAATATTTCTGGTAGGTTATATGGACAAATCAAAACATATTTCCAGTGTCAGTTTAGAGCCACTGAGCTGAGATGTTAAATTCATTTCACATCATGTGCAACATACAGCACACTTTGATCTTAATTTGGCCAAAATAGAAAAACTCTCTTTTATGTCACTGTAAAGACCCTTAACTACAAATCTATCACAACTAATCCTCAAAATAGAAGTGTAGTTTTAACAGTAGGACTCGATAATGACAAGCTGCTAATAAGATAATGAAAAGGAAGACATCTGCCAGAATGAATAAATAAATGTGTAAAATTACAGAAAAGGTTCTGGTAGCTCATCGCTCAGACTCTCCTGTAATTACAAAACTGAATTATTTCATTAATTCACAGAAAATTTTCATTTCTATTTTTTTGTTTGTTTGTTTGTTTTACTGTGGGTCTATTGTAAAGAACTGAAACTTCTATAGTGGATAGTTTTCAAAATTACTTAATAACTTTGGTATGGTGCCAGTCTTTATCAGTAGGAAAGGCTGTAAAACCTTTGAAAACACAGCTTCCAAAATCTATGTACTCCTTTGTGTTTCCCAGGCCGTTTCTGGCCCCTGGGCCTTTTGTTTGACACAACATGGTTTAGAGACTGATGGATTGGTGGGATTTGCCATTGGTGGAAGGGTTTTTAGAACTGTGTTTCATTTGCATTGCTATAGTAACACTCTTATTATACTTAATGCTTTGCTTGCAGTTTCTCCAATGACATGATGTCATTTGAAAACAGTCACTATAGGATCTTCCTACATTGGGAAATCATGGCAGGAATCATCATAGTCAGAAAAACACTTCCTAAAAATCTAAATATATACTAAAGAAAACCAAAATTCTGTATTACAATAAAACATCTAAAGACGAAGGACCAACTCACACCATCAGCTGCCTGATAAAAGTTTCTATAAGAAGCCTTTCAAAAAGGAAGCAGAAAAACAAGGACCATACAGTCTTTCGTGACGATAACAGCACATGTAGTTGCTGAGGGCGCTCTCTTTTTTTGGTTCATGAAACTCCACTGAGCATCTTCCTCAACGTGCCCGCCCGAGGGATGCCAGATGTACAACCAGAGAGCAAAAAACACACCCAGTGACTGACCTCAACTTACTAATCCTGATGTTTACAGCGATCTTCTCCATGCAAACATGCAAATTCAAAGTTTGAGCATCACACAGGAATCCAAATCAGGTCCACGGATGCTTAACAGATGACCACGGGGTTTTAAAAGCGCTAAACCAAAGTACTAAAAGTTAAATTTGTTTGCAGGACGCAGCAGAGGATACTGTGTGTTGCTGTCTTCATATGCCCACATTTGATAAATTATTCATCAGCCCAATCGTACGGACAGAAGCATGGTCAACATTAAAAACTGTTGAGTTATTATTTCGCTGCAGGATGAGTTTTCATCCAAGAAGTTCTACGCTTAACAACGGAGCCTGAAAGAACACAGCCTGAAAGATTAATTTTCTCTGGACTGCTGGACCAAAATATTATTCCGGCAGACTATTTACTGTTCGTGTCACAGGAAAAAGATTTTAGGTCCACTCTATTTTGCACAAGGCACATTTGCAAAAGTAAGGCAAGGACAAACTAATCATCAATAACAAAGACTCAAACTTCCTCTCCTAGCTATATTTCCTCAGGCTAGAAAGCATATTTTTTGAGTCAGATTTATTGTACTGAGAAAGAGCTTCTCTTTCACGGGCAGAAAGATAAGCATGAATCACCGCAAATCACAGCCGGTGATTATTTTGTGTTTTTGAGAGAGACACACAAACCACAGCACGTATCATGATTTAATGAGCCATTAGCCTCTAATGATGGAGAGATATTAATGTTATGAAAGGATGGAGATGTTTAACGCAGTCATACTTGAGTCTCTGTCTTTTCTTAAAAGCACATTTTCTTTGAAATTCACTGTTGGGGTTTAACATTCATGCTCTTCTTCTTCCAATTTTGTTATTTTAATATTATTACATTTTTGTTTAATGTCTTTTACTGTTTATGTGTTTCAGATGCCTCACTTTACAATCGGTGATTAAATTTTGCATTACATTTTCTTTGTCACTGTGCAGCCTAATGGCTAATTATCCCCTAAACCCTCTGCCAAGCACAAAATATTATTTTAATACCCATTTACATAAACTTAACACACTCAAATGTTGCACAAAACAGACAATAATTAAGCAGCTATAAACTTACAGTAGCCACATCTTGTTCCTCCTTCAAACACGAATCCATTTGGTACAGGTCCATATCTACGCAGGTCTGGAAGGTTCCAGTGGCCAATAATAACAGGAGGGACATCCCGAGCAAGAGCCAACAAATTGTTGCACAAATGGAGAGTTGCAGGCCCGCTCTCCAACTTGGTCCCTGGTAAGACTCCAACACTGAATCTGTGAACTGAGAAACACACAGATCCTCAAATTTAACGCATATTCCAATAACTGTAAATGAGTTTTACAGTAAGTAGAAAGAGTGGAAAGAGTAAAGAGGAACATAAATGAGGCAAATAACCCTGAACACATTTCTTCATAAGCTGCGAAGTACCTCCTATTTTGTCACTCTCAAATACCCAAATGTCCGTTCTGGGTGAATATATTTTTGTAAGTAAATCTGAAGCATCAGCGTTCGACTTGCATTGCAGTGAAATATGTGCCATTTAGAAAGCTATGAGTAATTATGTTTGCAAGTACATTACCTAAATATAGTAGCTTGCTAACACATCGCTAACATTAGCTTCTAGCAGCTAATTAGCAAGAGGGAGCTGGAAAAAAGATCCTCTGGTATAATGAAGTGTAGGTATTTTGTAAGAGTTTTAGCCTCACTTTGGTATGAGGCTGAAAAATAAAGCTAACACAGAAACCCTGCAATACCTTAAGTGTCCATTGGGGCTGGTCCAGAAGTAATTCAAGCCACACAGCAACCATGTTAAAATATTCAAGTTTAGAGTAGAACTGTTCAGAGCCAGGTAGGTTGCATAAACACTTTTTCTGTAGAGATAATTGTTTTCATAAACTGATATACTCTGAATATATTTTTCCAATTCTATTTTCCATTGTTTAAAGTGTGGCCACTTTAAGTGGCAGGCATAGATGGTATAAAACGTAGCTAATATAACATCGTCGACTGGTTTGCTAGAGTCCTGTTCTGAAGGCTAGGGATTAGCATTTTCACGATCTCTAGCTTGGTATTTAAAAAAAGCAAGCAAGCAAGTAAAGAAACAAACAAACAAACAAAAAGTCTACGGGAAAATGGCTTTCTGACTTGACCTCTTTAAAAGCTTTCTGATGGGTTTATGGGCTCAGTCATTCGTTTTGTGTCATAATGAATAAAAATTTAAATTTCATGGAGTTTTTCCATGAAAATGCACACTGGTTTCACGGAAAACCAACTAACAAACTATGACTATGATGTTTTTAGCCAATGAGTAAGAGTTTCACAGTCAACCATTTGGAAACTCTATGATACTATCCTGTCTTTTAGTAACCACTCTATTGTTAAGCTTAAGTGCACATGGGAAGGAGAACTAGGAATTCAAATACATGAGGAGTCTTGGGAACAGGCTATAGCGAGGGTACGATCTTCCACCTCCTGTGCTCGTCAATTTAAGGTCATACACAGGGCGCATTTCTCTAAGTCTAGACTTTCTGAATTGTATCCAGAAGTGGAAAATAAATGTGATAAATGCCATGGCTCTCCTTGTCACCTTAGCTACATGTTTTTTCTGTGTCCTGAGCTGGAAGGTTTCTGGACAGGGTATTTTGGTATTATGTCAACTGTTCTTGGGGTAACTCTTCATCCTTGTCCTCTGATTGCTGTATTCAGGATTCCTGATCACTCACTTACACTTGATTCCACACAAAAGGATATTATAGCCTTCACATTCCTATTAGCGAGACGTCTAATATTGTTGCATTGGAAGTCTGTTAAGTATCCTACTACTTCCCGGTGGCCTAAAGATGTCATGTTTTTTTAAAACTTGAAAAAATTAAATATACGTTGAGAGGTTGCACAGCCACATTTCTCCACAAGTGGCAACCCTTTACTTCTTATTTTACTAGTCTAGAGGTATTGCCTGTTTAAATGTACTTCTGTTATTGTTATATCGCTGTAATATGTTTGATGGCTGTGTTGATCTGTGTGGGACTTGGGGGGGGGTTTCTTTGTTTTAGAGTGTGGGTATATATATATATAAGTATATTTACTTAGGAAAATGAAGAAAGGTTAATTGTATTTCGGTAACTGCAAGTACTGTGTTGTTTTCTTTTTTCAATAAAAATATTTGACAAAAAAAAAAAAAGTTTCACAGTCACATCTGCCCATCCCCATGCATCCTGCTTTTTAAAATCTACTTGCTCATTGGCTAACAACTGGTCAATCATAAGTCATCAGCCAATGAGCATACTACGGATAATCATTCATTTTGACAGAGAGTAAGACAAAGATTTAAAAAGGAATTAACTAAATTAATTAATTACACCAGTAAACTAAACTAAAGCTGACCATCTGGTGTCTTTGAGACAGAACGCAGGTTTGAGACACTTTTATATTAGCTTTATTTTTCCAACCTAGAACCTACGCCCATGTTTTATGCTGTGTTTTGGAGCATAATGTTGCAGCTAGGTCAGTAATAGTATTTGGGCTGATTAAAGCCATTGTACTGAACCTTGTTAGTGGTTTTGTTTCTTTGTAGGATGTTTTTTGCAATTATCTAACAAATAACACACACTGTTGTGATGGTTAACTGTACTTAAAAGTCAAGACAGTAATCCTGTTTTTGTGAGTGAAATCACATTATTTTATTAATCTGTTACTTATGACTAATGAGCACATGCATCCGTATATACGGTTTATGGATGTAGTTTGCTAACCTTGCATTAAATGATAACTTCAGGCTCAAAATCCTTATCAAAATATTTACTTCTGTTAAAAAAAAATACAAGATGGCTGCTAGCTAAATCTTCCGTTTGCAAGCTCACAAACAGGGTGCAACGTTGGCTGCATCCATCTTTTACATACAGTCAATGGCTGCACTTTATCTCTATAGGGATTTTTTTGAGGGCTCTACAACTATGTCCTAATGAACCATCAAAGAAACCACCAAACAGTCTACTGGGATTCACTGTGATTAAAGTGAGCAGGATTGCAGAACTAATGAGTAATGGAAAGACAACGGTCAATGTAATTTTGCATACTGACAAAAACAGGAGAAAAGCTTCACAAGGGGCAGAAAACACAGTGTCCTCACACGATGATTACTTCAGCATGGATTTGATTTCATTCACAAATAAAAAGGGGAAACAGCTGCAGACAGAATGAAATCAGCAAGCCGAGCACAACGGGCTCAGATCTAAAGCCCAGCGCAATCAATCAAAGCGTGTCACAGACATCTGTGTTTCATGAGTCTGAGTCTCGACAATAAGAAAAAGGGGAAAGTCGGGTATAAAATTAGAGCGAATCACAACACTTCACTGGCGTTTCTGCCTTTGACTTTGCTAAATTTCACACACAGCAAGTGTGGATCTTGTGGATCTTCCTCAACAACACTAAACTAAAAACTTTCGCGGATTTGAACAAACTTGGCCAGGGAGATTGATTAACGGAGGCGGCGACGAGGGCATGTTGGCCAGGTGCGGCACATCATTGCTCAGGTTAAAAAGGATTCATACAGTCTCACGTAAGACAACAAAAGCTCTGTGCATGGTGGCCCTCAGCCCAGCAGCTGGCAGGTGACATTTCTGCCAGCTTGGATGCACTCCACTCAGTGACATTAGGACACACACACACACTTATCTAACTCTCAATGCAAGCCTGAACAGACACAAGTGCATCTGTCCAAGCATGCACACGTATACTTTAACACAAAACAGACGACAAACTGGAAGGAACAACTGCAATGCAATTTGTCTTAAGCCTCTTCCACACAATCAGGTCCCCCAGCACTGTCATTAATGCTGATGTAAAATTCAGCTGCCACCTGCTGAACAATTCGTTGCTATTAATAGCTCCTATTGCTTCATGATGCATGTAACTTATATAACAAGTCCACACAGTAAACAATATGCACACTAAAGAGAGTCAGTGCTTGACTAAATGACATTCTTAAGAGTAATCAGACATGAAAAAAAACAGCTTTAGAGTTAAAATATCACTTTAGACAACAAACGTAGTACGATAGTAGATAACAGATATTCATTAAAGACAAAAATCATTTGTTTATCTAGGAAATTGATTCAGAAGCATGTAGATGATTGCACGGGGGTAATTTTGAACAGCTGGATAGGAACATCAAATATCATCATTTAAATTCCTTGAAAGGTTTTGAGGGGAAAGAAAAAGAAACACTGGATGTTAAACACAAGTAAAACAAACACTCATGGTTCTTCTCACCTTCTCCTAGGCTATATCGCAGGCGGGCGTCCCATGCCTGCAGGGCCTCCCTGCTGTCAAAGCCCAGCAAAACAGCCTGATTCAGGCAGAGGATGGTCAGAGTAAAAGCCACACCCTCATACCACTGTCCAGCTTCCAAGCCGCAGATCTCCTCCAAGGTGATGCTCGCCCTCTCCTTGTTGCCGTGAACTTTCTCTGATTTGTCTTTAAGAACCAGCAACACGAGGCAGTCTGCAGGACAGACAATGAGCAGGAGACGAAACAAAGACAGAAGAACACAGTCTGCATTAAAACATTATTAAATTCTACTCTTTTTTTTAAGATGTAACAGTTTATTTAAAAAAAAAAAAAAAAGTAAAATCAATACTGGAATCCCCAAATGACACTGACAGTTACTAACAGGATGTATTTTGACCCACAGTAGCTACTGTAGTGTCCTCTGTTTGTTGCCACCTTTCAAACAATCAGTGTCAACTGACAAAACAACACTGTGTGTGTCCGTGTATCATCCCTCTCCTTCACACACACTCGCATAACTGAGGCATGAGCACAGACAGCTGGGATAACATGACATCAAAGATTTGAAGAGCAGCAGCACTCAGCCTCACTGTGGAGCATGTTGAGCTGTGCAGCGCAACATACCCAAGAAACCTTTCTGCGGTAAAACTGAATGCAGTACAAATACAAGTTCACGCTAAATCCACTCACTTTTCCATAAAATATTTGAAAATGTGTGCAAATATAATGACTACTAGATTTTATTTCCGCAGAGCCGAAGCCTCGCAGGTAAGCGTGACTGTTCGCATTCATGGTACATCTAAAAATACAGCGAGTCTCTGGCTCAGACTTTAGCACATTAGCTTTGAAGATGGGATCAAATAAGAACCACAGGTTTGAAGCTTGTGTGATGTTGTTTTAGAAATAATCTGAAAGCCTGCTGTTGTGCAGCAGAAGCAGTACACGTGGTAAAAATAAATAATTTATAAATGTAATTGTGTAAAAAGAAAAAGTAAACTGTGCAGAAATGCTTTCAAGAGTGAGTTTACAGCATGGGGGAAAAAGACAGTGTGTGGATTAAAAGCACCTTTGGCATCAGTTTCCCGTTTTTTAAAACACAATCCCACGTTAAACGTTTGCAAAGAGTCACTAAAAAGCTTTTAATGAGATTCTTTTAGCTTGTGCTAATGTTTCAGCTCTTTTTCAGAACCATTGTGTAATATAGGTTTTACTAGAGGTGGGCAAGTGTGGATAGTATCAATATCATCTCTGGTATTGGTGTCAGATTGATACTAGCTCAATAATAGGCTCCATACTTTGTTTCTATCCACTAAGTTCAGTATGTAGCCTGCTGAACTGTATTAAATAAATTATTATTATTTTGAAAACAAAAAAATATATACATATGTCAAAAATCCACTATTAAAAACGTCTGAACTTTTTTGTGTTGACAGTCACGTCTATTTTATTTATAGCCCATAACACATTTAAACAACTGAAGTTTCCCCAAAGTGGCACATTTACATTACAGGCAAAATAGAAGGGAAAAAAACTGTTTATCTGCACGAAACTGCACAAAAACCTAATAATTGTGTTTTGCTCTGGTAATTACTTATTGGGAAAAGTTAAAATCATTGATTTAGTGTTCAGAATTTACAAATTAACAACAATTCACCAAATCTCCCCTAGATAAAGTGCCTTTATAGGTTAGGTTTCAAAGTATCGGCAACACTGGTCCCGTATTTACTTGGTATCGGATCTACAACACAAGTTGCAGTATCACCCCACACATATACATACACACACACACACACACACACACACACACACACGTCTTTTAATACCAACTGTGGTTTGCACACATGTTGATTTTGAAATTCAAATGTATTGAATTTGTCATGCAAGCCTTATTTTAAAAGTTTTAGGTCTTTTTGTCCCTCCTTGGACGCCATAGCCTCCTGGGTCAAAGCTGTGTATTTGAACACAAACGCAGGCCCTTTGAAGCCGAGGCTTGTTGAGCTCTCACGCAACAGAAAACACAAGCAGTGCAACACCAGCTCACTGTCCTCCTCCAGCTTGTCGCGGCAGATCTGTGTAGCCGCTGTCAGATTTAATTTCAAAACAACAATGCGAGCGAGAAATGCTAAAAACAAAATTAGCTAGTTTCTACGTTTTTTTTACCTGCTACAGGCGACGGTTTGCGGAGCACGAGCCACCTAGTTTTCCACTGTGAAACAAAAGAAAAGTTTTTGGGGGGTTTTAAAGCACTGGTCAAAGTGTGCATAGGAGATATCCGCATATTAAGACAAAGTAAAAGCAACCTTTTTCCCGTCTCTGAGTCTGGCGTATCCCTCCACGACAACAGAATCCGTCATCTTCAGTCATGGTTCCTGACAGCTGCAGAGTCGCTGCCTGAATGAGGGGTCACTTTCAAAATAGCTGCGCTCTCCTCTAGCGGGGCGCAAACTCGCCCCCCAGCAAGGAAGGCACATGGAAAATGGCATGACCAGTGTCTGTCTGTCTGTCTGTCTGTGTGTCCGTCTGCCGGCCATGCTGCTGCTGCCACCTGGGCTGGTACAGTGAGACGCTCCCGCGTGTTTAACATGCCACACGCCACTCTAACAGTAAAACCGAGCACGTTAATACATCAAACTAGACATATACACTCGCCGGACACTTTATTAGGTACACCTTTTCAACAGCTCGTTAATCAACCAATCACAGGGCAGCAACCATCTTTAGGATTCACGGAATGAAACGGAGGAAATGTACAGTGAGCGTCAGTTCTCAGCGAGATCGCCTTGTTGATGAGATTAGAGGAAGGAAACAGTAACTTGAATAGCATAAAAGAACATTGTGATGTTGGGAGCAAATGGGCTACAGCAGCAGAAGACCACACTGGGAGGGAACTAAGGAAACAGGAAACTGAGGCTATATAATTGTCATGGGCTCACCAACATTGGACAACAGAAGATTGAAAAAAATTGGTCCAGCGGGAAAACATCACCATGTCAATGAGCAGGCTCACTGTACTGGCATGGCCTCCACCGTCACCTGATCTCAATCCAGCAGTGCACCTTTGTGGAGATGCATGTGGAGCAAATGTGTAATGCAATCATATCAGTATGGATCAATATGTGTACTAATCTTCTAATAAAGTGGCCATTGAATGTAGCACCACCCTTTTGCGTTCATGTGGGGTTAAAATGTTAAGGAGTTAAACTAAGCAGTTGCCAGGGTTCGTGGGTTGTTTTTTTGTTCGTTTGTTTGTCTGTTTTTGTCTCACTGTGCTCTGTTTTTGTCTTTTTCTTTATTCCACCCAACCGGTTGTAGCAGACTGCTGCCCCTTCCTGAGCCAGCCTTTGCTGGCGGTTTGTTCCTGTTAAAAGAGAGTTCTTCCTTCCCACCATCACAAAGTGGTGATGGATTGTTGAAGTTTTCTTCAAAATACTGTAGGTCCTTTACAGTATAAAGCACTTTGAGGTGTTGCTGTGTTTTGGCACTAAATAAATAAATCTGATTCTGAATTGCATCAAATGGAAGTAAACTGGACTGAAGGTTAAGTCAATGGAAAGCAACCAGAACAAAACACAAAACAACTGGAAAAAGGTTTGACAATTAACAAGTTATAAGGATTTTAACTGTGGACATATCACCAGCCTGTGTAAATGTACATTAGTAGATGTGGCCAAAAAATGGACAAAACCTTTGCACAGTAAAAGAGACAGGAGGCACTGATTCACCGTGTGAAGGGGTACTCATTGATTTACCTACTTCATTTACTCTAGCCCACTTATCAGCTGATGAGTTTGCAAAAACGCAAAGTTTCATTTTGATTGTCGGCCACACATCTGCAGTGGGAGCAGCAAGAGCAAAAACAGGAAGACAGCTGTGTATTCTGGACGAGTGGTAACATGGAGACTTCAGTCCTAACATTCATATTTTTCTGTTAATTATTATTTCAGCCAATAATGTTCAGTGTACCTCTGTGGCACTCTGCTGATTAGTGTATACCTGGTAACTGGGTTGCATCGAGGTGAGATCGCATTCTCACCAGCGAACTGCTCTGCAGTTTGTTTGGTCCGCCTCCTCTGAAAGGCCTTGGTACAGTTGTTTTAGTCTGCACACCTGTGCAAAAGAACCACACCAAGGGCGGAAAGCAATCTGAAGTTCAATTTAAACGGATTAAACAACTAAACACCATGAAGGTGTATTTAGAATTTCCAGAAAAAAGGTCACCCACACCCCGAGGTAATTTGTATCTGTGCACTTCATTGATTTGAGAACCACAGCAGGGCAGTCTAACTTCAGGGGTGTGTTTGGTGCCACCCAAGGTCTCCCAGACCCTGGAGCTAATCACATACACTCAGTGTCTCTGGACCTATTAAGGTAATTTTAAGCTTTTAATACCCCTTTATTATCTTTACATTCAGTTGTTCTTGGAGCTACTTTCTGTATTTGGCTTCATAGTTTTAGGTATCTGGAAAGTTTATCCACAAAACAACCTTAAAACTGAACTGTGCATATTAAAAGTACCACATCAAGTCTATACAGTCTTTTTATGTAATTGTACATATATCAGCAATAAATATATATTGTTTTTTACCCAGTTTCTGTTATTTTCTTAGAGATGTTTCACTGTTTCAAAGCTAATGTGCTTAACTAGTACAGTAAAAGGACTCAAGACCTTGAGATGAGCTATTTTTAATCCATCTATTATTTCTAAAGCCCATTTATATACTTAATTTAAAAAAAAACTAAAGAGAGAAATATCTGATGAATGAATTGAACAGCAATACATATCAAATCTCAGAAAATCCAGCCTCATGATAACAGAGAAAAGTCCACTTGGAGAAAAACATCATGGTATTCAGCTTGTAAGTGAACCTTGAGACTGGCTTGTTTTAATTACATTCACAACATATCACAGCTCTTTAACAAAGACACTCAAAGTTTGATGTCACTGAAAGTCATTGAAGGTTTATTCAGTCTCAAAATATTTCACAGTTAAACAAATAACCTGTAAACTTCCAGAAGCTTTACAATAATAAAAAAAATGTAAAAAAGTTCATATATAATATCTCTAAACATCTCATGCAGGAAAGGTTATTTCCAGGTAATGTCGTTTGGTGAAGGCTTGGGTTTGCGTTTGATCACTGAATCGATCCAGTCTATGTAATTCACTACTTTTGTGTAAACTCCGGGTTTATTGGAGCGGCCGCAGCCCTCCCCCCAGCTGACGATCCCGTACAAGAAGCTGACGTCATTCCTCCCACAAGCCAGCGGGCCCCCGGAGTCGCCCTGAGGAAACGCACAAGTGGATGTACACATGAATATACACGCAGATCACAGTGAAGGCACACAAACGGCTGAGTCACACACTTAAAAATGAATATATTGCTCAAAATTGCTCTCTACCTATGAGCTAAACAGTCAGTTGTCTCATTTCATTTAATAGGAAGGAGTTCAAATATTTTACACAGCAGGATGAGGGGGTAGTGTCACACCAGACATCTCTGAATATCACTGAGAGCCTCGTTGCCTTCCCCCAACATTTCACTCAGGGGAATCCCTCCTGCCATCTTAAGTGCTGTTCCATTACTGTGAAACCTCGAGCCTGGCCTCTGATGTCATCCCCAACAGAGCCAAGGCGGCGGGTTAAGTACTGTACCGTCCCAGACACAGTGAAATAAAGACATTTGTTTTCTTCTTTCTTAAATTCACGTGTATTTAAGTTTGTATAGTCACGCATTAAATGAGATGTTGAAAAGGTAACGTTGATGTTTTTTTAAACTCTAAAATCTGTCATTGTAAAATAGATTTTTGGTTAAAATGTGATCTTCATGAAGCAAAGTAGTTCATATCTCCAACATCCAGCAGCTTCATATAATTGCAATGACCTGCAGCGGGATCACATGACTGTGCATCAAAGTTTGTTTGATGCAGTGTGTAAGAGTGTAGTTGAGAGCAGGAACATTAATACTGTGAGTTAGAACTATTAACACAATCTAACTCTTAATTTAAATACTGTTAAATAATTAAAGAAAAAAACTAACAAAAATATACCATAAAATAAAAAATGTAAAAAGTATGCTCAGCTTTTTGGTTCTGGCTGAGAGTAAAATACGTGAAGCAGAATCTGAAATGAAAAAAAAATATGTAATGACAGAAAAGAGATTAAATCGCAAAAAAGTTCCTGAAGTTAAAGTCCTATTGATATTCTTTATAAATAACTTGATAATAAGAGATAATATTGTCACTATTACGCTCAATCGCCCACTTTCCCAAGTGAATTTGCCACCCTGATAAGGATAAGCGGAAGAGAATGGATGGATGGACCTACTCCACTGATGTTTCCGAAAAGCCTTATATAGAGTTTTAAGCTTTTAACCCAGCCAACCAGCAATGAGGTGAATCATGACTATAAAGGAAAAGATTCAGACAAAAAAATTAAAGGGAAATAAAAAGAAAAAAATGATTAGTTAAAACAGTGAAGGAACTACTCATCCCATAATGTTTTGCAATTCATCGAATTTACAGCAAACGACTTCTAACCTTCTAACCTTCCTTTAGATATGTCCGTGGTAACCTTCATGTCCAACCACGAGAGATACCGCTGTTTAAATTCAGCATTTTCTTCACGACATTGTAAATAAAACTTGTTTCCCCAAAAACAAAGTTGTTATCATATAGACCTATGGTTTCTTGTGACACATATCATCATTTCACAATGTCATAGCAGCTCTACTATGTATAGTTATAGTATTATGGCTCATAATCAGAACATGACTATGAGTTTTATTTCCAGGACCTCACTGCTGAGCTCTATAGTGCTGGTGAATCTGGTGTCTTAACTGCAAATAGAACATTGAGCCAGGAGCTAATTTAAAATTAAAAAAAGATGTTTCTATCATGGGACTCTGTTTTAGGACATCAGCGCTTCCTTGGCAGAATTACATCAAAACATGACAGTCCTCAAAATGCTTCCCTACCTGGCACGCATCAACGCAGCCGTTAATCCCTGCACAAATCATGTCACTGGTGACATGGTTGCCATACACTTCTGGCTTCTTGCAGTTATCGTGAGGAGTCAGTCTTACTCCAGCCTCCTGCAGAGTGGAGTATCCCATTCCCTCTGTCAAATAAAACACAAATGAGTCATCATGTTAGATAAAAGCCCAGTAGCACCGAGCTGTCACCCCGTATTTTTTCCCGGTCCTTATGCTAAGCTAAGCTAAGCTAATCGTCTCCCGGCTGTGACAGATTTAGCCCTCAAGATGAAAGCAAATTACTATTTTCCAAAGTGACAAAATGTTTCTTTTATGTGCGTTAAAAATAAATCTGAAACTTTTCTCAAAGACACATAGCAGCGCAAACAATTTTGGCACCACCCTCACGGTTTAAGCGTGTAAACAAATAAATAATTCACTGGAGGTGCACGACAAATGTGCTCCCTGTGATCAATGCACGAATGTAAATAGTTGTCATCGTGACAAAACGGAAATGACACAGCTCTGCCATGACCTCCTCATTACTCACTCTCTTGTGTATGTCCCCAGCCACTAATGGTGCAGCAGTAGTAATCGGGGAACGTCATGCTTTTGTCTGGGAGACAGATGGGCCTGATGAACGGGGTTTTCTTCACACATCGCCCGTCCTGCTTCTTCAGTTTGATTAGAACTGCCAAACAGAAATGAAATGTTATGAAACAGG